TGAGCTGTACAGTGCGCATGCCTGCTGACGCTCATGGAGTAAGTCATGTCCAAAATCCATCCTGCAGCCACCTCTGTGCAAATACAGGCTAAGGCCAAAGATTTGGTTTTCCCTTAATTTTTGTAGTTTTATTTGAGAGGTGAGTAGCATGTTCCAGGTTACCGAGGCAGTTGCAAAAGTAAGCATATTCTGGACTTTGGAAGCAGCCGGCGAAGGGCAAGGATGCAGACTTTAGTGATCTTGTGCTGGAAGGAATCAGTCTTTTCCCAAGCATGGGTATCTTTTTCTTTCTTTTGCCAACAATATGTAATTTGCTACTACTGATGTAAGGTTCTAATCAGAGAACATTGCAGTAGTGTGAGTTGGTCAGGCAAGGGCAACACAGGCAGATGTTGATGCTGCCTCTGCTTCTGTGGCAGCAGCAGCTTCACCTTTGAATAGTATGTTTAGCCGACTCTCTTTTTATTGCTTTGACTTGTTTCATCCTGCTTCTGGCTTTCTGAGGAAGGAGTATGAGAAAAGGAAAATCCTGCTTGGTTATGGGCTAATAATTAAACAACTGAGTGCCACAAGTAAAAGACACATCACAGTCTGTTGCACTGCCAAAAGGAGTTACGGCAACTAATGCACATGGGAACTATTTCCAAGGAAAAATGTCACAAGATCATGAAGTACTCCCTCTCCCAGCCCCCAGTAAAAAAAATTGCATCTATAGAGTCTCACTGTTTTTAAAACAGTCTACAAATTATACAAAAGAGGGTTTTCTGGCTTGAGAATTAGTTTTAGTTATTTTTCTTAACGTTTTCTGTCAGGTACTTGCATCCCTTGCTACTGGGCCCAGACAAGATAATAGCATTTTCTACGAAATTCGCACGTATGATATTAAGCCATCAAAGATGAAGGAGTTTGTGGAAATGATCAACAAGCACTTTCATCTTCGCACAGCTCACTCAGAGCTGGTGGGATTCTGGTCTGCAGAGCTGGGAGCGATGAATAAGGTTGTCCACGTTTGGAAGTACGGTATGCTCAGCATCCCTTTGCACTGCTCTGCTCTTTCCGTGCTCACTGTCTCCTAGGCAAAAAGGCAAAGAGAATGTTTACCGGGCTTTTATTTGTTGCTCTTACTGTGAGGAAATGTCTAAATAAAATTTGTTCCTGTACCAATTACTGAAAAGAATGCTGCAGAGCCTGTCAGGACAATTTTAACATGTTGGGATGAGAGAGTTACAACTGTTCTTAAACAGCTGTCTCTGCTCAAAGCAGGTATAATAGACGAACTGCAGCAGAGTGCTTCGTTCATGGTAAATATTTCTGATTTAGGGCCAGTTCCTGAACCACAAATGTCTTCAGAATTTCAAAATAGATTGAAAAAAGGTTGAGACCTGCTTAATAATATCATACATATAAATGCAGGCAATCTATATGCAGTTTCTGTGTGTTTATATGCGTGTATAATTGTTCTCAAATTTTAGTTCAGTGTTAACAGTCACTCCCCTAAACCAAATGAGCACGCAGTTTGCATGCTTAAACTCCTTCTGCAGCTGCGCTGTGCTGAGGTGGGAAGCCACTCCAGCAGCCCTGACATCCCAAGCACACGGAGCATTTTGTTGCAGTTTCAGCCTTGGTGGCAACAGGTTTTTTGCAGTATAATCAACTTTTTATGTTGCTGGAGTCAGTCCTGACCTCGAAGGTGCTAATGAGCCAAGAAAAGCTACAGTTATGTGAGAAACTAGATATGCTGTCTGTGCTCTTTGTGGGGAAGGGACTTGATACTTGGGTTATGGAGAGGTGGGAAGGCTCCCTCGTATCATTTCTTCATATACCTGCTGCAGTCCAGGATATATCTGTATGCTGAGAGAGAGAATTTTGTTTCTGAAGTCCTCAGTCTGCTTGTTGAAATCCAGCATGTTCACAGTAGTTGTTTAGAATAAAGAGTCACTCCTTTTTTCCTGGAGGGGTGAAGGGACCAGCCATCTGTTGACAGGAATATTATGAGTTTACGTGCATCTATGGTTAATAAATTGTCCTGCATCTCAGAACTTTTTTTCCTTGTTCTTTCTTTAAAAAAAAAAAAAACCACCCAATTTTTAATAATCTGTGAGAAACTTTTAAAATGGAAAACTAAGGAAAAACTTAAAGTTTGTATTTGTTTCCTAATGGTGTGTGTAAGGTACAACAGCCTTTCTTAATTCATCAGACCCCTGCTTATATCTTTTTAGTAGATAAAAATAATTGGTATATTTTTCTCTTGGTCCCAAGATAATGATATTTCTTAAGGTTCTTCCCATTCTCAGATGATGGATTTTTCTCTTGTGTTATTGAAAGCTGTCTGCATTAACATACTGCTTAGGATTCCACTGTAGCCTAACCAGTTGAAATTCAGAGACTCAGAAATTCAGTGGATTTGGTTTTAATTTCAAAAAAGAAAAAAAGAAGAAAAGCTCTAGATTGTGGGCATTTAATAACTTTTTATGTAGTTGCACAAACAAACATTACTTCCACACTTGTAATTTTAATGTCATTTTATATAAACCAAAGCTCTTATTTTCTTCATTTTCTCTTGATAGGTTAATATTCCTTCTGAATTTTCTTTCCCACTTTCCTTCCTTATCCACTGTGCTTTCTCCGAGTCTCCTTATCTTCGGTAACTGTTGCCACATCCAGTAGTCCCTGTGGATGCCATATATGAATCTTTCTTAATAGTAACATTGCATAACTTTTTTATAAACTTTCTTGGAAAATTTGGCTTGGCTTGAAACCACTTACTACAGCAAAGATTTTTGCAGAATTTGAAGGAAACACCACATCTGCTTCGAGCTAATATGCTGTTTAAAAAGATCAATTTCAAACTTACGTAAGTGCAGCTTGCCTCCTTGTAATTAAACGTTTTGATTGAGTCTGATGTGACATTAAGTGCATTTCTTTCATATTTATTTTTTTTCCTTTCTTATAGAGAATTTTGCCCACAGAACAGCAGTCCGGCATGCGCTAGCCAATGACAAAGACTGGCAGGGAAAATTCATCTCCCCAGCTCTCCCCTTGATAGAAAAGCAGCACAATGAGGTTGCTTATCTGGTACCCTGGTGTCAGCTTGGGAAGCCTCCAAAAGAAGGGGGTGAGCTTATCTTCTCTTTTGTTGATTAAAGTTACTGATACTGACGGACTAACAAAAAATGGCTTAAAGTTTAAATGAGGTATTACACAGTTGTATAACCCTTTATGTAACAAGTGTGTGTACATACACCCATGTGAAGAAGGTGACATAACACAGGTGAGGGACAGAGTTTTTAGGAAGGATTTTGCACTAACTTATAGCAGTAGCTGACTAGAGCCCTGATCGTTAAGGTTGTAAAGAGGTGTGTGAATTGCCTAAATGAACATGCCAAATGGCAAAGCCATAGCAGTGGTCAGAGCAGTCATCCCAGACTTGCTTTGCCCATCTGTCAGTGAGAGCGCGTTTCTTGGAGACACTTAAGACAACAATTGTGCTCTTTCACAGATGTTTTTCTCTTTTATCAATTTGCTTTATGGTACTGCTTCTTTTGCATAATTGTTGTAAGAAAAAAAAAACAAAATAATCCCTGCTTTTTAAAGATACATGCAGGCCAAGCTTACTTTGTACCAATCGTTTAGATTAGGTGTAGATGTCCTGTCTGATGTATTTTAATTCTCTCTGCAGCAAACGTGGTATTAATAGTATTGGCTGTTCCCCAGTTTATGAGCATTTGCAGACTTCGTTGCATGGAGTGATGACAAACAGGCCTTGCTTTAGTCCTCAGCATGTGCATACATACAGGAATCCTTGTTCTTTATTTCCCCATGGTCTTGAATGTTATGCTGTTACAATTCAATCTGAAAGCAGTTCAGTTTTCTCTTAAAACTAAAGCTGACTTTTCAAACATTTCGTTGCCATTCAAGTTTATCTCCAGCCCATTGCTGGAGAATCAGACCAGACACACATTGCCACATGGCAAGTGTCTAGGCTTTCTATTAAAGTGTCAGCAATTGTGATCTAGAGTAAATACCTGAATGGAAAGGAGACAGGTAACATGTCTTGTAGCAGGACTGGAGTTTTTCAGCAACTCATGCCATTTGTCTACAAAGGAGACTGTTTGGCAGAGAAGAGATGCTAAGCTAGTCCTGGCCTTCAGATCTTGCTGTGACCAATTGCTGGGAGTTAAAGGGGTTTATAATGTCATAAACCACTTCAGTGCCAGAAAAAATCACCAGTCTTAGAAAGGCCACCTTGCATTGTTCAATCAGCCATCCAAATCCTGCAAACATGTATGAGTACTTTTAAGTGCTACAAAGTAGTCTGAATCTCCCCAAATTTACAGGCAACACTGAAAATTGCTAAGCTGGGCTTTCTGTGAAGCCTTTGGTTCGTCAGGGTCCTCAGTACTTACATTTGCACTTGAACTACCTCCAGTTAGTGAGCCGCTTGGTGTGCGGCTGGATGCTGTGAGATGTTGGGCATGCTGGGCATGAAGGGGCATTTTCACGTCCTGCTGACCCCAAGTGGCAGAGAATTACAGTACTGGTTTCACAATAAATATGTTGTGGTCATGACACGCTGTTTGAGAACTGGCATATTAATTTGTGTTTCGTTCTTTGAGGTCACCTTTGCCTTTTCTTCCAGGAGTATATGAATGGGTTACTTTCCAGATGAAGCCTGGTGGGCCAGCATTGTGGGGTGAAGCGTTTCGAGCTGCAATCAATGCTCACATCAACACAGGCTACACCAAACTGATTGGTGTTTTCCACACAGAGTATGGATTACTTAACACAGGTACTACTCAATTTCTGATACAGACTTTGGCATGGGAAGGGGCAGAGGTGGAGGGGCAAGCCCTCATCCTGGATCAGGATTGGCTGGTTTGATGAAACCGTTGGTGTAGATCACCAGAGTCCTGTAAACAGTCCTTGAACCCAGCTTTGTACACTGGGTTACAGGCTTAAGCCAGGTGCTGCTATCTTGAAAGACTCTCAGATCTGATGTTAAAAAGTCAAAGCTTTTAAAGGCTCAGCAAAGGATCATCCCACCACTTACTGAAGTATTGTTTTTGCTAACTAGAAGGCATCTAGCAGGTTAAGGCAGACTGCTAGGACTTACCGTACATGTTGTATTGCAGCATAACAGTATTCAGCTGACTTTATTTGTACTTTCTCAGTCCACGTGATCTGGTGGAATGAGAGCCCAGATCACCGGGCAGCGGGAAGGCACAGTGCCCATGAAGACGCCAGAGTGGTAGCAGCTGGTAAGAGATGATAGATCCAGAGAACTCACTAGTGTTACGTGTGTGCATGCTGAGAAAAATATTATTTCTCATTGTATTACTGTCTCAATTAACTATGCATTTAATTTCAGTGCGGGACAGTGTCAGATTCTTGGAGTCCCAGCAAAATATGCTCCTGATTCCTCTGCAATGCTCGCCGCTGAAGTAACCTTCTTCTAAAGGATGTAGCTGGAGGCAGAAAGGACAACATGGAAGTGCCATCACATGGACCATCATACCCTCATGAATTGAGCCAAGTGTTCTTCAGTTTACAACAAATGGATGCAAAATGCTGATCACTAGCAATGTAAATCAGTAAAAATTGCACCCTGATAGAAACTGCTGAATAGAAGTTTATAGTGATGTTCCTACAAACCCAGGAAAAAGAACTTGAGCCTATCACTTATGGCCTGAACCATACTTCACCTATATTTTGTAACCTCTCAGTTCCCAATGCTTTTCTGCATAGCTAGATCACTTATCAAACCTACTATGTGCTGTTTTCCAACATTTTGGGTCAGGGTTGGTATCATTTTCATAATGTACTTTTGTGACTCTTGCAATTACCACATCTTTGCTATTGCATACTGGTTTAAGAAGGGATGCCCCCACATACCTGTTACCCTGCTATGTTTTAATCAGTCTTCTCACTGGGATGCTTTATATTAATTCTGAGTAACACGAAACATTGCCCCTAGGAGGTGTTGCAGTGAAGCTGGTCAGGTGATGGGTCCCAATGAACTCTGCCACAAGAAGAGCATTTATTCGCTATCTTGTTATAGTTCACTTCAGCCCTTTCCTTTTGTTTTCAGTAAACATTTCCTCAAAACCGTTGGTTACGCTTTGCTTTAGGTATTTTAATATTTGTTTATGGTGCCAAAATGGGATTATTCCTTCTTATTCAAGGGTGTAGTTGAACTCAGCTGATCTACATATCCTTACATTCTTGGAAATACTTTTTGCCAGACTGTTAAAAGCCAAATAAATTTGGATAAAGTATGAATTTTCAGTGTTTACAGCTTAAGCTCTTACTCTTTTTAAACTGTGAAATTATAAACCCCATTCTCCAAGTACAGCATTCAGCAGGTCAACAACAGCCTTGATAATAGTTGCTTTAGAGCCAGTAAACTAGAGTGAATAGCAGCAGCGCAGAGGGCATGTGGGCTCAGAAGTCAAACTTGTGTTTTGTGTGCAGTTTTGAATGCACCCTCTTCTGCAATTTAAAGGTCACTAACTGGCAGAGCACTTGGGAGGCTTTTCCACAGGTTAATTGCTGACTTGCAATAAGCAACTGATTTCACATCTCTGCTGAAGATCTTTGTGCAGTCTGTCTCATGATGATTATTGCTTCTGTAAAGTGTATTAAGATCTCAGGGAGGGCACTAAAAAACCAGCTGTAGGCAATTATCCTTATGTGCAAGGTGCATGGATGGGATCCAGCTGCTGTACTAAGGGAGTGCAACAGGTCCCAGCTCCTGTACACAAGTCTTCGTACGCTCCTCCCTCCAACAGAGCCATCTTTAGCACTCTCAGGGTGGAACAAGCACTGCTTCAGAAAACAGTCTTATATTTTACAAATCCACTTTTTAAGTTTTAAAGGGCTGATAAGCCATCACTGTTATTTGATTCAGAATGTTGCTTCATGGCAGTTAACTCAAAGGAGGACTTTTTTTTTTTAAATAACAAAAACAGGCTGAAAAATAGTACAGGGAATTAATAGGACTTTTTTTCCCACTTGAATTCAAAAATTGTTGTTTTATTGTTTACTGGAGAAAAAAAAAAACAACAAACAGAGGTATATTAAAACCAGGGTTTTTTTAGTAAAACTATTTTCCTTCTCACCAGCATTGAGAGTGAAGAATACTCACGATGTTAGAGGCATGCTTTATTCAAAAGTTTGTTGTTTTCTGACAAGAGGCTGATAAATCAAGCACATTACCCAAAGCACCAGCTGGACACTAGATTAAAAGAGAAAAACCAGGAAATTTTAATTGGGTTCTTATCTCAGAATGAATTTTCCTGAGGAGTGTAACTTCAAGAATTGGTTAGATTCTGGAACTCCATTGGTTTACAGTGCAACTACAGGCAGTATGAAGGGAAAATGTTAAGATCACAGACCATTATTCTGCTTTCATTTGTAAAATGCTGCTCAAAATCAGTGTAGTATTAACTTGAGTGCTCTTCCTGTAATTTGATATTAAGGATTAGCTAAACTTAGAGTATTTCAGATTCTTTATACTCAAACATGACATTTTGCTTTGTCAGTGAAAACGGGTATAGGGTATCAATAGTTGCAGCTTGCCTCTCTAATGGAAATATTCAGTCAGGTACCTGACTTGGGATTTAAACACCAAGGTAAGTTTGTTATGCACTGCAGCTGTGTTTCACAGTTACACTGATCACTTTTTTCGGGGTTTGCTGGAGACCTTTCCATTTACTAACTTTAGAAGCTTAAAAGTAGCACTTGCCTTTCAAATCTTGTGCCACCTCACTTAACTGAAAATAGTATGCTAATTTGTAGAGATACTGGAACTTGCTTGTACATTATGCATCAAAGTTCACAAGAAGACTGGGCAGAACAAGAGCTGCTAACAGCACTCCTCAAAAGAACATATGCAAAAATGACACTTTGAAGACAATGGTGCTATAACAGCTTTATTTTTTACTTAATACAAGGCAATTAGAGTGCCTTTTAATACTTCACATAACAGTTATTAGCAAATACAAATATATATACTTTTTTTTTTTGCTTTTAATGAAAATGTCCATTTAAGGATTTAACTTAGAAATTTCAGTTGTGAAATCTCTCTAGATTTTTGCAAAGTTAACAGATATTCCAGTGCAAAAATAGATCCCATTACAGATAGCATAAAGTGCTTGGGATGAAGGACCAACTATAATTCAGGAGGGAAGGATAAGCACAAAGTGGTGGTTTAACCATGGGGAAAATACAACTCCTTACTAAAATACAAATGTACTACAAAGAGGGATGCAACATGTCAATAGTAATAGTTTAAAATAAGTTAACACCTCAGTGCAGTTTCATTATCAAGAGTGGTTCATATACTGTATGTGACCCTAGAGTGATTTTTCCCCAGCACACACTTGAGAGAGTAAATTAGTGGCTGCCTGAACTTATTCCATGACAAGTCTTCATGTGAGAGTTGCGTATGCCGTCTGTTCAGCAGACAAGACAGATCAGAGCTGTAAAACAGTTCAGTTAATATCCATGTTTACTGTAACATTTTGTCACAGATAGACTGTATAAGCATGACAGGCACAGGGCAATAAGAATCAAGAATCTCTTTTTGGTGGGCTGAGGAAAGAGTATTATGATGTGACTGTTGTTTCCTGCTAAATTAATAATTTACACAAGCAGTTACAAAGAGCAAACCACAGCCCTTTCAGGACCAAAACTGAATCCTCCTTGAACTCGTTCTAGTTCTACATGCAATAATTTGGTGCAATGCAAAACTTCAGACCTTCACTTTGGTGACTTAATGCTGATTTGTAATAGTGATTTTTAGCAGTGGTAAGCCTTCGATACATGCTATTCATTTCAATGACACCGTAATATACCTGCAGCCTGTTACAGAGAAGTCATGGCTGTAGTGCAGCTGTTAAGTATTTTTTCTGCACCTGGAAGTCTGGTGTATTCATCACCCTGTAACTAATCCCCATAGGGTGACTATGCCATAAAGGCAATAACAAAGCATGTTTTAAGTGAGGTATACCAATCCCCATTACACTCCTTTCTCAATCCCCTTAGCAATGTATTATACAGATTAAAAAAAAAAAAAAAAGTATGAAAAAGGCACTTCAGCGGAGCACGTAGTAAGCTCTTACTTCATCCCAAGGCAGGACATGGCAGGGACTGGGAACTTTTGCTAAATATTTAACTGTTTGTTTATTAAAAATGCTGAATTGGTCAGTGTTACCAAGTATACCTGGAAATATGTAATCAACCTTCTTCAGGTTCATGCCAGCCTCTTCACTGCTTTGTTGGGCTGCTATGGGCATTCACAGAAGAAAATGGTCCATGATTGATTCATGGCAGAGTAGTATCAAGAGCTAGTGCAGAACCTGTATGGGTGTTTAAGGCGGAGACATGACATACAGGAATAGCCCAGGAACTGCACTTGGGTTCCAACCACATTACTGAACCTGTTTCTGAATGTAAAAGCAAGACAGAGGGGCCTGTAAGCATATTAATGAAAGCATACTCTCCCATGACTGCTGTACAATGTGAACAGGAATTGGCTATTCTTACCATATAATATCCCCTCCAGTATTATTTTGGCTTTGTAAAACTTTCTTGTATGTGTAAAAATCATTGACTGATGTAACTGTAGCACTATTATTTTGAACTATTTGTTCTTGAAGGGGATTTTTACTGAAGCAGTTTGTCACATGTATAATAAAGGTGTATTCTCCAGTTCGGGATCACCTAATGACTGAAACTACACTGCACAACAGAAGCAGAAACTTACACATTAGTCTAACGTTATACCAGTTTCCAAACAGGAAAAATTTAGGTGAACAACTTGCAGTAATTGCAGATAGCAGCTGATTGCTAGTCTGGAACTTGGTCAGATCATGAATGTAGCTATCGCTGAATGGATAGAATGAGAGCATAGCATTGCAGGCATAATGTAAAGAAATACAGTGGCTACAAAGATCAACTGAAAGCACTTTCAATCCCTAATTACGCTACCTATCTATTTAAAGTCATAAATAATACTGTTAAAAAAAAAAAAAAATCTACATCTCATTTCTAGTTTTATCTGGCAAAGCCAGAAATGGCAACATGCTTGTGCTAAGCAGTAACTTCAGATGATGGGTACCTTTCTGGTGCAAAGCAGGGGTTAAGGAGCAGATATTACATATCTGAGTGTCATCTCATGATTTAGAATTTGCTCTTGGCATTAGCAGCTTGTACAACTACTGAGTTTGCTGCTGTGGTTCAAACCCTAGGTCTGCTTCTCACCCGCTTCCTCCTACTAGGTGTTCGTGCAGCTGCTGCAGTACCTCAAAGGAGCAGGAGAGTACTTAACTACACAAAAACCTAGTCAGAGGTTATTGGTTGTGATGCTGGTGGGACAATCCTGTGCATTTGCAGGGTTCACAGTTCTGCGTATCACCACTTACTGATGGAGATGTATGGATACAATGGCCTGTCTCTTGCCATCCCATCTACACAGTACTGCTTTGTGGCCCCAGATTTGTCACCAACTGACCTACACCAATCTAGGAAAAGCAGCTGGTCAGGTAAGTTTTCACAGCCTAAGGCTACAACACTGGTGGTGACTTTTCTTGCCACTGACTGTCTTGGTGCATTCATTGCCAGCAATGGATGTAGCACCAGGAAATTCCCACTCTTGACATGATTGTTTTAATGACTAAAACATGCATGTCTAAAATATCTATAAATAACCACTGGCCATGATTCCTCAATGAACTATTTTTGCAACCCTAGTAAAAACATACTGTACAGGACAAGATACTGTATAGCTGAAAGCCCATAGCATCTGGTGGGTGCTTTACCACAGCCTCAGAGTTATACTGTATGAGCTAAGTTCAAGTCTTTCACTTGAGAACAGTACAAGACGACTCCACGAGGCACTGCCCCTGTAAAGAAATTTTGTTTTCATTGCATTGAATTGCATTGCATTGAATGGTTATCAGTAGAGTGTCCAGTTTCTCTTCCTCTAGCTTCTTCTTTGGGAGTATCCTATCCCAGGAAAAGGAAGTTCGCATTCTGCTCATCATTTCTTTGCTGAAATTGGCTCACACACAACTTTCTTTTACCTTCTCATCTTGCAGGAAGGAATTAAGGATTGCAATATCTACCACAGTCTGGTTTTTGTGCAATGACAGGTCCTTAGTGTGGTCGTCGTCGCTTTGGTCCTTAGCAAAATTTACAAATACCTACAAGAAAGAAGGCCATGTCACACATCACCCTGGATTTTCATTAATTCAGGGCATTTTATACACTAGGCTTCCTGAACTAATCCTGTGATTCAGTACTCTGCTGAAATGCCCTTAAAATATAGGTCCAGTAAATTGGTGGATTTATTCCTACCTCTGCACAAACATGCTTTTAACAGGATACTAAAAACTTACTTGGTCAAGTGTGGTCTGAGAAACGGAGTAGTCTTCTATGTGGAGTCTCTTTTTGTTCTGGGAGAGAATACTGAATATTCTGGCCAGGGAGGATGGTGAAGAGGGAAGCTGGTACTGCAGCATATTCCGATGCTTTTCCTTCAGGACACTTCCAGGGAAGGCATGCCCAAAGAACTCCTCAACAGGCTTCAGGTCTGGGTTTGCCCCTGCAATTCTCACTACTATGGTGTAACCATCTCCAAACCTGTAAACAAGAGGGCCAGCACAGCAGTTAAGGGCCTCTGAAGCAAAAGTGCAGCTTAAAATCCAGCAGCATTTCCCATAGCCAGAATAGCAATGGGAATGCTGCATAAGGAATTAAGTCTGACTGTACCTCCCTAAAAATGCAGACAACTCCATGGTGTAAGTCAAAAGAAAATAGCTACCTGTTCTTTAGATGTTGGACACTGCCCAGACACCTGAATCGCCCATTGACCATTATCGCCATTCGAGTGCACAGGGCTTCACATTCTTCCATGCTGTAGGCAGAAGTAACTTAATTAGCACTGCAAGCAGCAGGGAAGGGCAAAGCAGCCAAGCAGAGTTTAGCATCCAGCCCTGGTAGATGCAAAAGCCAGAGTAGGATACAGCTGGGCTTCTACTTGCCTGTGAGATGTGAGTACCACTGATCTCCCCTCTTTGATTACACTCAGAGCACAGTTCCACAAGAAACGACGTGCTTTGGGATCCATCCCTGTTGTTGGCTCATCCTGCAGAATATAAAGAAAAAGAAGATTATGCTGTTACATTCTACCAACAAAAACCTCATTTCTGAAATGACCCGTCCATTCTGATAATGCATACTGGAAAGGTTGAAAATAAGCAAGTTTGATTCATTTTCCAAAATGAGAAAATAATTTATGCTCCCAATATTAAATTAGCAAACATCTTTTTCAGAATGGAGAAGTACTGCTTATTCTGCAATTATAACGTTGAAATATCAAATTCTGGAACAGGTTAAAGTCAGTTAGCTTGTTTAAATAGAGCACTAGACTACTTTTTCCTGCACTGTAAACTTTAGTAATCCCAAGTCTTGTCCTCGGTTTTATTCTGAAGAACCCTAAAACATTTATTTCCAATTTTCATTGAATTATAAAAACACAGGACCGATTCTCCCGCACAGTAAGATTCTCTTGTTCCCAGCAGGAAGGCTGTTATTTTTACTAGATACAGAAATCTTTACAGCAGTACTCAGGTGGTGAAGATGCTACACAGCTGGCAGTTTGGCATCATGTTCGAGATCCCCACTTCCCCAGTGATTTTTCAGAAGTAGAAGCCTGGAGGCACATTATAGCTTCCACCTACATTTAAATAGGAAATCGTTATTTCCATGTGCTCTTTGTGCACATTTAAGCGACTGATGATGTATTTAACCATTAGTTGGCTGTGAAATACCTAGTCTTCATTCAAACCTGATTTTTGTCTTTTCCAAGGGAAACATTAATGAGGAAAGGTTGCGGACTTACCAGAAACACCACAGGTGGCCCTCCAATGAGGGCAATGGCTGTGGAGAGCTTGCGCCTGTTCCCTCCACTGTAATTCCCAGCATATTTTTCTCCATATTTAACAAGGCCCAGTTTCCGAATTGCCCACTCGCCAACCTACAAGAGACAGGACAAAACCATCTTGAATCAAGCACAGCAACATTTATACAATGAAGTTTTCCTTATGAGCTTTGGCTTTAAAAAACATTTTTCAGAAGGGCCACTCATGGGAGCATCTAATGTGGCACGGATATGGGTTTTTATCTAGATCAGGATATATGCAGTCCTGGAAGGCCAGAAAATCAAATGGCTGCAGCACATTTGCCAGTGAGCACGAAATCAACATCAGTTGAGCCGTGTTAGCCACGGGTGTAGTGCTCTTAGCAGCACTGGCTTCAGCTAGCTTTCCAGTTGCTGTGGGCTTGCAGCAGGGATACAGTCACTACTGACACACAGCAATCCCACTGTGGTGCGTCTTAGCCCTTCAGACAGAATGGGGAGGATCTGGTTTGTTATTCAGGAGTATTGCAACTGGAGCCAATAGGAAGGATTGTTGCCCTGGGGACTAAGAAGGTGAAAGAAATTCAGCTACTACTTAAATCATATGCAGAACCAGGTCCCTTTTTATATGGAGTTGGTGGCAACATTAGACAGAGGAACTTGCCAGCAACCTTTGAAGGGGCTTGCGGTTTTCAGCCATCATCACTACTCTCCAAGAGGGATTCAAGCTACCTGGACATAGCCTAGGCACCAGATCTGGCCCTATTCAAAGCCCTGGGTACAGATGTCATCCTCCTATGTATAGCAGTTCCTGTTCTGCAGCACCAAGGACACAGACAGTGAAAACTGCTTTTAACTCAAGGAAACAGCACTGACAAGGGTGCACTGTATGGTACTGGCAGCTGTCACTAATTGCCTCAAGATTGTTAGTGTGACCCCATATCTGAATGCAGAAATAGCAGCACTTTAATGATGCAGCGTGATCAACTGGAAAGACGTAACAGCCAGCATAAGGCTTCTGTTAAGCTGCAGAGTGCTTGCTTGCTGGGACTTTGAAGAAATAACTCTTGACAGCAGGTGAGGTTCTGCATAACCTGCAGCTACACGGCCCTTAAAATCTTAAAGGAAAGAAGTCATTCAGTGGAGAAGCTGATCCACTATGAGAACACAGGACCCAAAGTAGTTGCCCTTCAATTTGGCACAGTTTTCTAGGCAGCACTGAAAAACCACAGCAACTTTGGTTTGCCCTGGAAGGAAAGGGGGACAAGATTTCACCACACAGTATCTTCAGCAGCTTCACATTATGGCACTGCATGTGTTGCAGGGAAGGTGTATGCAAGCAGAAGCAGTCGGTCACTGGGGTGGGTTGCATGGTGTTTCGCTTACCTTGCAGACTTCTTTCTCTGGAACACCTCTCAGGAGTGCAAAGAACTCCAAGTGCTCTCGCCCTGTCAGCAGTTCATTAACAGCATCGAACTGTGGACAGTAGCCCATGTTCTGATGGACTTCTTGGATGTTGGACAAGATACTGTAAAAGAAAAACAACACCTTTTGTTATGATTTCACAATTACACACTGCTATTTTAGGTGTTAAAAGGAGGAAAGTGAAATAGTGGCTTTGGAATCACTGAACTAACAAAAATACAGGATCCTAGAAGTCTGTCCTGGCCAAATTCTTTTTTCTCTCTCCCTGTCCCCTTCTTTTTTTCAATATGACATTTAAACATTAGAGGGCAGGTATTCAGAAGTAATTACCAGAATAAATTTTCCTAAGCCACTAAAGTACTTTACCAGACTCAGCAAAGGGCTGAAACAGATGCCAGGAGTTGAAAAAGGGAAAAGCAGGGCAGAGTTTAGACTTGCTGGAAGTGGAACAAAGTCTGTGAAAGCTGGAGGAAAAAGCAGCACAGGACCTGTTTTGACACAAAGCAGAGGAAAGATGCATGGTCTTTCACCTGTTTCCTTTGAGGAAAGCTTCTCCTCCTGTCACATCTGTATCACCAGTTAGCATCTTGAAAGTGGATGACTTGCCAGCACCATTCACCCCCAGGAGTCCAAAGCACTGGGAATACAAAACAGCAGATGAGCAGAGTATGTTTGAGAACAGGATTCAGGTGCATCATTTTCATCACTGACAAGATGGGAAGGAGCAAACTTGACTCTCAGGACAGGTGGAGAGAGTCTTCAGTACATTTTCAGAAAAAAAAACTTCTAGACTTTCATTTCAAGTATAAATCTTTAGGGTGGGAAAATGAGTGAACTGTGGTGTCACCTTGGTGCAGTGCCACCACAGCATATCCGTGCCAAACCTTGGAGGGTACCAGAGTATGGCCTATGGTCCCAGACACTAAGAGTTCAGTATCTTCTTCAAAGGCAGAGAGACACAGAATCAGAAACTGCTTCAACTTCCAAGCCATCTCCTTTGATCTAATTTGAACATCATCCGTTTCTGATCTTACCCTATCCTTTGCTGTCTCTTGCTCTTAAATACTGTAGTAATAGCAAAGCAATGAATTTGACAGATAAGGTTACCTCTCCAGGAGGGATTCCAACACAGATCCTATCAACCGCTGGCTTTCGCTTCATTCTGTAAATCTGAAAACAAAGGAAAAAGAATAAGAAGGATAATGTCAAAGAGAATTATAAGTAGAGCCATACAAATTCAACACTATAAACATGCTCTGGTTTTGACCCCGCTAAATTCCTTTGAATAAGGCTTCTGGTGAACTGTATGATCTTGTGCCAAGAAGTCTTAGGAATGCAGAACTCTTGTGTCACCTTGGTTAGCTCCTTGATTTCCAAAATGTCACTCTGTCCTCCTCCACTAATTATCCTCTGTCTCTCTCTGGTTACATCCTCATCTTCATCATTCACAGGAGGCAGCTTTGCATAGACAGGCCTGGAGAGAGCAAGACAACAAAGCATTAGCAGAAGAAGACAGGCCTCCATACTTAATGTTCTCCCCAATTCATGGGGGACACCAATGAAAACTTGACCTATCTGCAGTGGTGAAGTGGAGCAAACAACCTACCTGGGTTTGATGAAGAACCTGTACTGGATGAGCACTGTGATGAGGAAGAAGACAACGCCCTCTACTGCCATGGCAAAGAGGTTCCTTCCCACCAGGTCCCATGACAGAGGGGACACAAAACGATTTTCTCCTGCCAAAATGAGATGAAGAACAAAGTCACCTTTCCAGAGAAATAGGAGTGGGCTAGCATTTCTTCCTGCAGAGCTCATCAGGTGGGGCACCAGGGCAACTGGAGAGCAGCCAGTGGAAGGAGGGAAGGGACAGACCACCCAAGCGGCCAGTCATGGCCGCATGCACATGTCTTACTGTGGCAAAACTGGGACTCAGGCCCAGAGAATTCAGTCTGCCAAAAAAGAACTGGCCCACTTCCCCAAAAGGTTAGTGAAGCCCAGAAAGACTGTGACTCAGGCCTGGCAACTGCATCCCGAAAAAAAAATATCCAGCTTTCCAGAATCTCAGCCACTCCTTACACTTGGCCTAATGATCGTCTCCATACAGTTGGCTCCATGCATTTTTATTTAATGCCCCTAATAACTCAAAACTCTGGGAATCTATCTGCCAGGACCTCTTCAGTCCTTGTAACAACCTAAAGAGGACAGCTGTGGCAACTTGCCAGCTTTGATCAGATCTGTCCTGCAAACTGTGCACTTTCAGTTCCTGAAAAGTCAGAGGAGCAGAGCGCGGTCATTCAGAGCAGACTCAAGCCTTCCCTGTTCAGCTCAGGCCACTGTCCCTATGATACACAATTTTACTTACCAAACCTCTCCAGAGCATCAGCCATAGCCTGGTTTTTCACCATGTCAATAAGTCCCCGCCCCAGGCAGAAGTGGGGGAAGATGAGGAAGACAGACTTCAGGATGTCATTGATGTTGTTCAGCTTCTGTTAATACAAAATCAAGTGCTAGTAAGCCATCTGAGTAGAAAGCAGCCACCACCTTCCAAGTGTGACCCATGTTGTGATTGACCCCTCCCTCCCCCAACACTGCACAGGGTTTAGGATTAGAAATGCTCTCCCAAGAGCCAGTGCCATGGCTCCTCTGGAGAGTCAGTGTTGTTGCATTGATCAAAACGCTACTAATACAAGCAAACTGCACCAAAGGAGAGATTCCTTCAAACACAGTCTAAAAGGCAGTGTCTGCAAATGATGACATGCAGAAAGGCTAGAGGTTGAGGAGACAGGAAAGTTGTGCTTGCACAGACTGGTTTTCTCAGTGGCTCCCTATCTCATATTTGAAGGCTCTAATTCTTTTTCTTTCTTGTCTTCCAGTTGGCTTAGCTCTCAGATTGGACTGACAACAGCCTCAGAAGAGATCCCTCTTCTGCCAGGTACTTATCCTCAAGCACGTATAGGTTTTTACTGAGCTAAAACAGGCCTTGTAACACAAGGGACCACCATCAAGGACTGCCTCCTTATGCCCACAGGCAGTGGTACAATCAACAGGTAACTCTCACAGGGTGTCCTCAACCGCCTCCCACAAGGAACACTTCACACTAGTGTGGGTCAAACAGGGCCTGCTACCACAGGAAGCGAAACTGAGAGCAACTAAATGCTTGAGTGCTTGAGATGGCCTGTAGTAGACAGAAACTGTCCCTTATGAAGTACACACAAGAAATTCCATTTGGACATAAGAAATTTTTTTAATTTACCCTAAGGGTGACTGAGAAGTGGAAGAGGTTGCCTAGAGAGACTATGGAGCCTCCATCCCTGGAAATGTTAAAAATATGGCCCTGAGTAACCTGCTCTAGCTGACCCTGCTCAGAGCTTGAACTAGACAATCTCAGGAGGTACCTTCCCACCTTAACTATTCTGTGAACATTGCTGAAATGGGCTTTAACCCATTTTATCAGAACCTGTGTTTAAACTTCTGCAGTAACTAATTAGCACAGGCCGGGGACTAGCCTTTCTGGAGAACGGGCTGCTAAAGACAACATGGCAGCAACATGGAACTAGATCATAGCAGTGCAAGACAGTGAGTAGCTTCTGGGGAAACATACGTTGTTGGTGAAGAGCTCCAGGACGAAGGTGGCCACACTACCATTGATGCCAATAAAGAGGTTCACACTGGTCAGCACAACATATGCTGTGCTGGGGATTTTGAACACGAAGGAAGCTGGATACATGAGAGGGGTGATGGACCACCTGGCAAAAAGGAAAGGCGGCAACATCAGGTAAGCACCATCCAAGTCTAATAGCTTTCCCAGTCATCCTTCTGATGAGAAATTCCTTACCCATAGAGAAACAGAAGGAGAGCCAGCACAGGCAAGTTGGAAGAGGATACATAGGACTTCTGCTGGAAGCAGATGAAGATGATGATGACTAGTGTGGCTGGAACAATGTAGTTGCACTAGAAGGTGAAAAATATGGCTTTAGATTTGTTTCCAGATGACAAAAATAATGAAAGATGTCTTTCTGCTCTGAACCAATAGTTTTCAACATTCTTCAGTGCTCCCAAACCTGTTTTCAATGGGAGACTCTTAGGAGTGTCACATGTGAGAACTGCAATCTAGTACACATGAATTTACATTTCTTGGTCCCTCTAGAAGTAGCCAATAGACTCTCAGAGGTTCTGGACACCCCAGGTTGAAAAAACCTACTTTGACCAGAGCAGAACAAGGGGCTATACAAGCAAAATTCTGGGGCAGATGACATAATAAATGCTGATGATTGAGGTTATGGTTGCCCTCCCATCCTCTGTTCAGTGTTTCTTGTCCCACTGAGGTGAACCACTGCCTTAAGAAAGTAAGCACAAGAGTCCTAAGCGCAGTTGTTATTCACTGAATTAATGTGGTGCCCACTGGCCCAAACTGCACTTTGCACTTCAGTGCGACAGACACACTGCAAACACAGAATGGAGGACAGTTTAGCACAGTCACAAAGCCCTTACCATATCCCAGACAAAGTTGGCCAGCCAGTAGATCACAGGCTTCACACCACTGATGAACTGCAAGTGCTTAGCCTTGCTGACACGTTCCTGGATAAGGAAGACCACAAAGCTGGCAGGAACAAAGGACATGGCAAAGATCACACAGATGGAGACTAGGACATCCACAGAGGTTGTCATCCTGGACAAAAAAAAAAAAAAGAAAGCAAAGTGTTTGTATACTGGTACTGGCTCCCTTGAGATAAAATGAGGAAGCTCATGCAGGGCAGCGCAGAAACTGTTTCTCTTTCTAACTGTCCCTGTTTTGCAGGTAAAGGATGACCACATCAGACTGTCTTAATTAACTGCACAGTTTTTCTCCAGCCATAACAAAGGGAACATACACAGCCTGTTGGCATCTCAAGGACAGCACCACAACCTGGAAACTGGTTGGAAACCAGCATAATAGATGGCTTTCTGCCTTCCTTATCACCACCACGTGTTTCACGCTTAATGCATTTCTCGGGATTGTTGGGTGTTTGTCTTTTTTGTGTGTTGTTTTAAAGTTCAGAGGAATCTGACTGTCATCCACATTGCTTTAAGATTTGAAGGATGGATCTGCAGACAGTGTGAGTCCTGACTCTGGTTGTAGCAGTAGTTGACTAGTCAATGCCGCACTGCAGTAAGCTCTGTGCCCTCCAGGTTGAGACAGTGGGCAAAATTGAACAGGATCCATCAATAGTTCCTAGTCAAATGGTGGCACCTTGGGACAAAAGAATGACAAGCCACACCAATTCATGGCGAGCTACGTTTCTGAATGTGGCTGAGAGGAATTTCCTAAATAGCAGAAGGTCTGGATTACACTGGTTCTTAGAAACTGCAGCGTCCAGGGACTAAGACATAGAAAGCTTGCACAGCAGTGCTCTTTAACTGCAAGCACTTAACAGCACATGTTGCGATCTGCCCAGACCACAAAAAATAATGCCAGCACGTTAAAGCCTAAATGCTACAGGCCACTGAGTGTCCACCAGTGAGGCTTAACTCTCCTATGCTGCTTGTTTCCAGTAATCATCAGCTGATGAGCCCAAACCCATCCATGTTCATATCAGGACTTACAAAGCTACTTCAGAGAGCTGTTGCTTGGTGAGGTTGAGTGGGTGATTGAAGGCAGTGATCCCATAAGCACTAGGGTTTTTGCCCTGCTGCAGGTTGGCCCGAAGGATGGCATTGTTGATTACATTCAGGAAGGAGGCAATGGCATGCCAGCCTTTGTTGTTGAACCACACCTGCAAGAGACCAAATCAGCATCAGAAAGGCACCAGGCACATCAGCTACCCAACATGCTCCTGAGCCCTGCACAACATCCCTTCTTCTATTGAGGGCACATAATTTATTTCCATGTCCTTCCAGCTAGTTTGCTCAGGTTAATTTACCTTCACGTTGTTCTTTGTATCCAGGCCTTTCATGAAACTTGACAAGCTGTTCAGAAACCGATCTCCAGAACTCCCCTGCAAACAGCAAAGAGACAGTTACTTTCCCTCTGAGAGTACCTTTACTCATGTCCTGGAGTCTAGTGGGGGGGTCACACTTTGTTTTCCCACAGCTCTGACAGTTTTCTTCCCATTCTGCAGCCTGTATCTGCCAAGCCTGAGGTGGTAAGAAGGCTGAGAAACTGCAGCTTTCCTCCCCCTTTTCCTTTCTGCAGTCCCACCAGTAGAAGGACAGCCTTAGGCCTGCTTTTTTCCAGCAATAAGTATTAACCAACATTCAGAGACATTGCAGCCCACAGGCAGTCTCAGAAGAAGGCAGTGGCCCAAATTCTCTTCTAAGCCAAGGCAGACTCAGCACAGGAGAGCTCAACTGAGGTTTTGAAGGGGATGGCAACCCCTTGTTAATTCCCCGAGACAGTCCACCTTGTCCTGCCACAAAACACTCAAAGGTGTCTGTAATCCCTACTGGCTTGCAACTGGTGTTGGCCAGAACCCACATCGCCAATGTGGGCTGAGTAAGCCTCATCTGAGTGTGTCCCCAAGCCTTCTGCTGCCAGACACCAGCCTGGGAGACCTCAGCTCAGAGGCAGTGGGGAGAAGACACTGGACACAGGTAACATACATATGATCCTCATTTTATGGCTTCTAAGTCATCTCCCAAGTAACAAGACTCTGACATTAGTGCATCCTGGGTTTATGCAGGACAGCTGCTCACCTGTGCTAGCTCCAAGATTTTCTTCACCTGTTTAATGGCATCAGTGACTTCATGGCTTGGAGGAAGCATGAGAGAACTGCTGGCTCCCAAGGAAAAGCCGCCATACCTGAAAATGCAGACAGAAAGTGACGCTAAGAGCCGACTACTCACTGACCTCCAGAAAATTATACTCCTCCTCCATTCCCAGATGTCTCCTCTTCCTGCACTATATCCAAGGTAAGTGTGTCCACTCTTACATGAAGGGATGACTTTGATCTTCCTACACTGCTGCTTAGTCATGATGTCTCCCACTCCTTGTTTCTGGGGTTAAATACCCATCTTATGACTGCTCAGTGTACTGTTCCATTTAAAAAATGCACTATCCTCTGCTGCCAGTGCAGGCAAAGCAGGACATCTCCTTGCTTGGAAGAAAAGCATCTCCCAGGACGGAGTATCAGCAGGCTGGTCCTGCAAATCTTTTCAAGCTAATACTGCTCTCCACATAAGGCAGGCATGCTTTCCACTGATGTGGGTTGTCCCAGTTTATTTTTAAGTATGTTTCCCCAACATTTGGCAGTTGAGTCATATAAAACAAGCTACAAAGCGGGGTGGATATGTCGTGCTTAATGCAGTGCTTAAGGGTTAGTGGACACACGCAGGCCAGAGAAAAGGTAGTAACTCACCTGAACTCATTCACCCAGATCTTATTCTTTAAGCTGTAGAGACAGAAAAGAAAGCCAGTGTATAATATGTGGAACAAGAGGAGAGACAGACCTACCAGTGCTGCAGACACATGGCCAGGGAGGAGAGTGCAATGGCCTCTCGCATATGTCCCACCACTCCTCTTCGGTGTAATCCTTAAGGTTCATGCCCAGACTTTCCCCGTACTCTGCCTACAAGGCCCAGGATACCCCCCTCAGAGCTGCCACAGAATCACTAATAAAGCAGAAACATCACCTGAGCTGTGGATCAGGACAGTGAGGAGCTGAATGTGTCTGGCCCACTGCTGAAGATTTTGGGTTGCCCAGGCCTATTCACCTGATCTGTGCAGCATCCCCAATACAACAAGCAGCATTTGGTGAGGAGGAAAGGGAAAGGGTGTGTTCAGTAGTTACCTTTTCCCAATGATCTGCGCATAGGTCTTCACTAGATAGTCTGAGATATTGCGGCCTGTCAGATTCTGGAGGATATCAGCAGTGTCTTGCTCACGCTGGCATCACCAAGGAAAACAAAGATAAACAACCATCAGAAAACGCAGATGCGGAGTCAAACGAACTGTGTGCAGTGCCACAAGCAGGAATCACACCCAGCCACTCTGCTCTCCAGGAGCATCCCCCACTGCAGTAACACTGAGCTCCCTCCTACCTGTGGGGGTGGCAGCCCGCCTGCACCAGGGGGACACACAGGCAGCATCTTCTTGATCTTCTCATTGCTGCACTCACAAGATGGGGAAGGGTTCTCCATGCTCCAGTTGCCTTTCAGGAAGATGTCCAGGACTGAGTCTGGGACTGAAGCAGTGGTCCATTCGCTCTGCCCCACAGTGCAAGGAGTGTCTCTGTGTCAGGAAAGAGGCGACACAAATGCAGTTTTTATAACAACTATGATTGCCTTTGCTTACAAGCCATTTAAGTAACAGACACCACAGTCCCCAGAAGAGGCAGGCTGTTTTTCAAAGGAGCCTGACCTCGCTGAGACTAACAGCTCAGAGCAACAAACCAGGCTCTGCAGCTTCTAACAGATCACAGTGCCAAGGAGATCAAGGAGGATGGCTAACACTGAGTAGTGCCAGCCACTCCCCTCTCCTCATTTTCCCTGCAGCATGTGAGTGCTTTATTTCAGTCAGTCCCAGCACACACAGCATCCAGAGTTCAAGGAGCATCTGGACAATGCTCTTAGTCATATGGTTTAGTTTTAAGCAGTCCTGCAAGAAGCTGCGAGTTGGACTCAATCCTTTTTGGTTGTCTTCCAACTCGAGACAGTCTATGATTCTAATATCATGGCAGACAGTCTTTTCTTGCATGACTTGGATTTCTGCCTTTGAGGCACGAGAATGCTGTTCTTCCCCAAGGCAGCATCAGTGGGCAGCCTCCTCCCCATGCCCCATGGGTGGAGTAACCCAGCTCCTGTATCTGTTTTGGAGGATACAGCTTACTTTCTACCACTGGCCAGCACATAGGAGCCCTTGTTCCCTCCCCATCATCCTGTGAACATGAGCTGCAGTTCTTTCAGGCTTGAGACACACCATCCCAGACTCCGTATACCCCCTTCTGCACTCACAGCCTGGATCTTCAGTTATTTTCCCACGGCCATACAGCAAGTCAGTGGCAGAACTAGGAAACACCACCAATGCTGTCTGGGTCTCCACTCTTTCTGCTGGTGTTTGTGGGTGGGCAAACCTAGGTTTTAGTGCATCTAGAAACAGAGGATTGTGGAATGGGAATAGCTACAGTCTACAACATACAGAAACATGACTAAGTCCTTTTCCATGCTCAGGACCAAACAGTAATTTGAAGGAGAGACTACTGTCTCCTCTCCACCTCTGTCAGTAAGGACCTGCACCCAGATCTCACTCCCTCAACATGCCAAGGGCTGGTAACTCTCTAAACGGTCCTAAGCAGAAAAAACCGCATGTAATTGCAACTTTTTTGGCTTAAATCCTGCTCATGGCTATTCCTGAAGCTGGTTAAATACACTGGGTGACCAGAAGTCAGGGCTGGGCTTCCTCTTCCCAGCCTGCAGTTATACTTACGGGATGGAGTGTCCCTGCATACAGCGTGTCCCAAAACCAGGCTTATTGAGAAGGGCATCCAAAAGTCTCTGAGTGCCTGCATCTTCTGGAGCATCATTGCTATGGGTACAGCAGAGAAACACCATCAGGTCAGTGGGATAACAGGCACACAGCAAAAGCAGCAACAGAGCAAGGTTGACAGCACAGTGAAGGAGCTCAGAAGGATGTGGGTGGAGATTTCCCTTTGAAGAATATTTGACCTAGGAGCACACACGCTCCTGGTCTTTGTGCACAGTATAAGCAGAGTCATAGCACCATTCAGAAATGGATATGTCTTTGCCAGTAGTTAGAGTTGGCCTTTAAAGGTCCAAAAAGAATATACCAGGACTCTATTAAAATACGCTTCCAAGCTAAGCACAGAAAACAAATTTAAACAGTCTGGTAAGGAACTCAGTAACTCACGTTTGCAGAGAACAGAATTGTAGGATTTAGCACCATTTCTAGGCCACAAGAAACATACCTAATAAAAGTGTACTGTTCATCATACATCCAGGGCTGTAATTCCAGGCTGGGATACTTCCCAAAGGGAGGAACGATCAGGCTGAACATGAGAGCAATACACACAAAAACAGCTGGCAGCACAATCTGAAATTGCAAGGGAAGAGCAAACCCTTTTTAAAATGAGTGTTCCCCAAGGCATCAGGAACTACATGTGAGCCACTTAATGGATCAGAACTTTTTCAAGGTTTCCCAGAAAGACCTAGGCTATTTAGACTAAGGCATTGCTAGACACCAATATAAGACCTGCCCCAGCATTCGACTAGGGCACTCACTTTGGATGCAGAGGATTCAGCCTGCAAATGCTGCTCTCAAGGCAAAATTTGGATTTGAACCTCAGTTGCATCCTTGCTGTGCAAGAATACTGTAACCACTTGGCTACCACGCCACTCCTTTCACTTGCACAGGTACCCTTTTGCTCAGATGTGAAGACCAGTTTTCATTATCTGTATTCCCTTGAAGTTTTCTGCCCACCTTTAACTTTGAATACAATGCATGGTCCAGAGCTGTCCCTGCTGAGGGACCCTGCACATGTTAGGTGCTCTCACCTGAGCAAAGAAGCCCTTCCGGCTTCTCTTGGCAATAAGCAGCCTCTTCCACAACAGAGCCATGAACTGCTGCTGGGTGAGCTTCCAGCCCTTCATCTGGTAGGAGCCTTTCCCATCCATGCCACTGAGAAGGTCTGTCTCTCTGGATTCTGCTAGCAAGAAGAAATGACCCTCATTCAAAAGCTTACAGAGATGTTCTCTGGGCACTTCTGTGTTGGAGACACAGGGTGTTAGCTGGAGCAGCTACTCACTCATAAAAAAAAAAAAAAAAACCCAACAAAAAAACGCCACACCACAAAAACAGAGAGCAGCAAGGAAAGACAGCAACAGAAATTCACATAAATGCATTTTCACCCTTATTCCTCTGAGCCTTGATGGGAGGACTGAGTAGCCTGTGTATGCTACACCGCCCACTATTCCTAAAGGCAAATAAACCACCACTCCTTTGGCAGTGTCAGCCTTATGATCTGCAGCGTACGTAATACAAGAGTGTCCAAAAGAAGAAAGCAGGCTTGAGCCCCAGCAATACCTGGATCTATGTCTGAATCATTAGGATCAAATACATCATCTTCTGTGAATGGACGAAGGCAGCTCTGTCTGTCTCCAAACACACGCCTGTTCCTTCTGGCTGGCAACGTCCCATCTGAAAATAACGCAGTATTGATTAGCTGAGCTGCTTCACGTAATGTCCAATTAGCCCCAGAAAGACCCAAGCAATATCTTTTTCATTTTACATATATTCTATATGCAAACTGAGGAGATGATCTGGAGTGACTCCACTTCAGGTAAAACCAAGACTGCCACTCTACAATGGTCACATGTTTTATGCACCACTGTGTGCTGTCCTAGAAACTTCTTCCAGCGCACTAGACACTTTTTTTATTTAGCCACGAAATGGCAGGCTGCTCTCACTGTAAGAAAATTTTCACTAAATAAGCATATGATTCCAAGTGCAACTTGCTACAATTGTTTACCACGAAACGCTGGCATGAGCACTTAGTGCAGTGAGCTGCTCTCAGGAGGAGAAACTCATTTGGTCCCTACTATGGTCTGACCCTGTCAAGAGCTTTTCTTGTTCCTCAGAGTAGACAATAGTGTCAGTCAAGTAATTTACAATCCACTCAAACACTGAGAAACTCTCCACTATTACAAAATAAACATGCTGCCACTGAGTCAATAGAAGTTTAACAGTATATAAAACATGCATTAAGTATACTAAGAATAGCTATTTTAGGTGATTAAAAATATTAGCACAGCAAAGTTCCAGTTCAGTCTGAAACAGGGCCTGTCACACTTTGGCATGTGTTACTGTATAGCTGGACATGCTGCCATACACAAAGGTCACTCACCTGCTCAAGGCTGGTGAGACTAGGAACACTCCTCATCTGAGATACCCACTAGACCCTTTGTTCCCCTAGGAGCTTAGCCCTCCACTGAGACTTTACTCCTGAAATATCTAGGCTTGGTCAGCCTTGTACTTAAACAGCACAAATACCATACAAAAGGGTACCTTCCCCTGAAGTGCCCTTCAACACTACAGGAGACAACTATACCCACCTGAGGTTTCTGCATCCACACCGCTATCATCAGCCACTTTCAGGAAGATCTGAGAAGCAATAATAAATGACAGTGAAAATTTGAAGAACAGCAATACTGTGAGGACTGCTTCAGGAGATACCAAAAGAGAGCACAAGACTGACAGATGCATCATGAGAACAGCGGACACAGGGTTTATCCTGAGTGATGGAAACATGGATTTTGAGGCTTCTCTCCAGCTTCCAAGAGCCAGCCTGTAGCCACATACCAGTCGTTCCCCCTTTCTAATATCAGTTCTCAGTGCATCTCAAACACAAGCTCTTTCCCATGTCTCAGATACTAAGACCTAGTTACTAAATTTGGAGAATCCCGTCTTCCTCCTAGTCTGACAGTACTCACACTCCTGTTCATGCTTGAATAGGCACCTTTGTGGAGCTTATCCCACAGACACTCCCAAACAAGAAAAAAATATTTTCAAATTGCATATAGTAGCTAAGCCCTTCACAGCTGTGGGAGGACCTATGGGGCAACATCAATAAGTGACAACACCATTTCAAGTTCCCTTGTTATTTAAAACAAATAAACAAACAAAAAAAGGTATTTCACATAAACAAGGGATAAAGTGCCTGACACTTCTGTGTGAAGAAAAGCAGACTTGTCAGTTGGAACACAGCCACAAGGAACAAACCCTAAAAACATCTCTGACAAGGGCATGCATCTAAGTGGTTTCTGTTAAGTACGGTCTCCAGAGCTGAAATGTATGTTTTCAGTTAAGTGCAGCAGAAAGCATCCCTAAAAATACCTCTAAGGTATTTACACAGTCATTAGATGCCAAATTACGGGCCAACCTTCACATTACATCTCAGCAAAGTGCAACCGAGTACAAAGGATCTGTCTACGTTTGCCTGTACTACATTTCAGGTTTTAATGCACGCTTCTATGAACACACACTTAAAGGGCAGAAGACAATCCATTCTGGAGAGGAACGCAAAGCTGCCTGTTCCACAATAAATGTTTACAGGAAAAGACAAGACTCCATCTCGCTCTTATTTCTACCATGATGAATTTTGCCTAGTTTAAGTCAAAATAGAATTTTCAGCTCACTCACCTCCTCCAGGGTAGTTTCAGAGATGCCGTAGCTGGAAATGCCAAGATCAGAGAGACGGTCATCAATTTCATGGAACAGCTCCACAAAAGCTCCCTCTTTAGCAGCCTTGTATGGCAAGACATAGGTTAATTCATGGCCGATGTCCTCCACCAGCCTGGCCTCAGGAACATGTTTTGTAATAAGATTTGAAATTGCAGAGACATCTAGAAGAACCAAAAGGAAAAGATGGTGTTCATCTTGTTACTGTTCATTATGTGGAAAGCAGAGCTCAGTCTGAGAAACCTTGAAAGGAAAGGAAGGAAAATGGAATCTCTATGGAAAGCAGCTCATTTCCATGGAAAGTCTGGTTTCTTTTTACATTTAATACAAGCTTGGATGAAAGCCTGACCCAAGCCTGGCTATTCTCTTTACGTGCAGAATTCAGGAGAGCTTTTACATGCTACTGTCAGCCCTGCAAGTCATTGATGTACAGTTCACCAGCAAACGTTACATATTGCGAGCAGGCCTTGCAGCTACATAATCAGGTTATTAACTCTCAGGACAGCTTGAACCCAAAATTGCTCACTAAACAAAAATGCTCCAATCTATACAGATTTAAAAATACCATCGCTGTGAATTTAATACTTGTCTCAAGACTGTAGCTACACAGGGGCACAAGGTTAAGGCAGTTGTCCAAGATCAAAGATATGTCAGCGCTGGGGCTGAACTTTCCATTCTTTTCCGAGCCTCACCTATTGTCAGTGTGTCACTTTCATGGTCACTGCCAAGGCCAGCGTCAGAGCTGCTCTGGGAGACACTGTCATCCTGGTCACAAAAGAGAAGACAACCATTGTTTCCTGCTGTTTAATCAAAAAGGTGTCCACAAGTTGCTACACTCTAGGTAACTCCAACCAAATGCTGCAACATGCTGGATACTCCAGAGGAGACAGAAAGTAATCGTGACATACCACTGCAAAGGGCTGAAATACAAGTACAAGGTCACAGTCATAGGAGTATTACAGAAATGTTCACTTCATCTATATCTCTCTAATCAGCTTTGGACCACTGGCATTGAAAGATATACTACAATAGAGATGTACATCCCATGCAACAGTTTAACGAGACATGATCTGGCATAGTATCTACAAAAGCAAGTAACACTTCTTTTAAAAGAATAAGGGATTTCTCTTTAAGACATTCTACCATGTAAAATCTTAGCTGCTGCTTCTCATAAGCCTAAGATTTCGTGAAAGAAGAATATGAGCAGGAAGGGTCAGCTGTACCTTCTTCAGATAGGACACTGTGCTGCTGCTGTTTCGGCAAGAGCTCAGAGAAGAATCCACATCCTTCTTGACCAGGGTCAAATAATAGCCTGTTCCCAGCTGGTTCTTCAGGAAGAGAGAAGAGCCAACACAGCAGAGTTTGCCATGAGAGATTATGGCAATCCGGTCCCCCAGAATATCTGCCTCATCCATGTGGTGTGTGGAGAGAATGATAGTGCGGCCTGGCAGAAAGCAAGAGAAGACACTGTTGGTAAGTCAACCATACCTGTGTTCCCAAGCCAAAGCCACAATCATCTGGATGTTGCCATGAAGTTGGATGGGAGGTTGACGCCTGAACTCCAGGCTGCTTTGAATGAGGCTAGCAGCATGGAAGAGGTTGACAACTGCCTGCAGGCCTTGTCAAAGGCAGGTTAATTTTATGTCAGGAGGGTTGGTTGCAGGGACCAGAACAGGACACTACTGCACACCAAGGATGAACTTCTGGCTTTAACTGCCCTCACAACCCAGTGAGGAACTTTGTTCATGAGCTCTGACACGAACAGGATGAGAAAGGAGGACAGATGTGAGATCAGAACATCCTTGTCCTGCATGCTCTTTGTTCCTCAGTGTAGGCAACAACAGATGTGCAGAGACACATTGCTATTTTGAGAACAGTCATGAATCAAATTGATTTTCCTTTGCTTTCCATGACACATTCATTAGGAGTGGAGAAAAAGACCACGTACCTTGCCGATACTTAAGCAGCAGCTCCCATATCCCTCTGCGAGAATAAGGATCCACCCCAGCTGTAGGCTCATCCAGAATGACAACTTTGGAGCCACCAACAAAGGCTAAGGCAACTGAGAGTTTCCTCTGCATGCCACCTGCCAGGCACAAGAAGAAAGAGGTGTTCAGGCTGATGCAGAGATTAGAGGAACAGCAATAGCTGCAGCACAGTGGATAATGAGCTCTCCAAGAGAAAGCAGAATAGCATACTGAGAAGACCAAGCATTGCCACTGTTTCAAGCCTTTAGGGTCCCATGACCTTCAGGACAGGGGATAATTCATCTGGATGGTCTTCTCTCAGTGGAGTCCAACTCTCCTCCTACAGCAGGAAGCCACACACATTGCAAGCCCTTCCATAAGCAAATCATACTATCTCAACATCGGCAGTAGCAAGTTGCTAGCTTGGAGGCCTAACCATATTTGACTATCTGGAGCACAGGTCTCCAGAGACTGAGCAGCAGAAATAGGTCCCCAAGAGACACCCCTCCTGCGGAAGCGTGGCAGAGGCAGCAGCAAGGAATTATATTACGCTCTCAATACTAAAGCCAACCTGTGGCACATCTGCTCTCCCTTCCTGACGTCAAATGCACAGTCTGTGCTGATAGTTGAGTCAGAGACAAGGGAGTCTCAGTCCCTCAACTATCTGTTACAGAGATACAGAAATGCTGCTGCTCCTGAACAAAGGGGAAGACTGCTCCAGGATGCCAACTTAAGAAACATAAGACAGCATAAGAAATACACATATGGCTCACAAACAGCAAGGGACTTGGAGATTATCGTCTGAGCCACTCTCACCTAAACTCAAAACCCAAACATATTAGTAAGCATTTGGAGAACACGTATCACACATAGCTGGACTATGTAGTGATGGAAACAAGTACAAAATATAAAAAATGAGTGACTTGTTATGGTCATTAGATAACATAAGATAGTGTAAGATTGTTACATTTACTAATATATACTTACTAGGTACTTAATAAGTAACTGATTTCCTTAAGTGCTTAGTTGTGTGGTACTCTATATTTAATTGGAGGATTCAACCAAGGTCTGCCATGTGAAACCCAATAAGAGTTCTTCTGTTGCTGAGGAAGCAGCTGAGAAATGTAAAACCAGCTGAACTTACCAGAGAGTTTGCTTGTCCTAGCTTTCAGTTTGTGAGGCAAACCAACATCCACTGCCATCTGCTCCATCTCCTCTTTCACCTTCTTTTCCGGCAGCCCTTTGAGCCGAGCGTAGAACCAGATGTGCTCCTCCACAGTCAGCCTAGGGAACAGGAGCAGGCTCAGGACACAGCTGAGAGCACCACACTAGGATTCATCCCTTGCATTAGCATTACAGCAGGCATGTTTGTTTGCTCAGGAAAACACCTTTTAAGGCTGAGTTTTCAGGAAGGAGCTACAGACTAGGTGTGCTCAGCTTGGGCCCTATTTCAGAGTACGGCTATTCAGCACCAATGTAAATAATCCTCCATTAAGGGTGCTTCACAAAGTACCCTAGCATCCCAAATGACTACACACTGGGGAAACATTTGGCCTGGTTACATTTAATGGAGCAGATTTCCTTAAAGAGACATGAAAGATGAAAGCATAGGCTCTTGCTGATAATTCACAGGCATGTATGAACATGCTAACAAGCAGAATGTCCTTGTACCAATCTCACACCATCCTGCTGTCTCACACCACGCACACAGACAAAGATAGGACTGCCCCAGCTGAAAGCACACTACTGTCTCCTAAAGAACCCAAACGTCTGTTGCATAATACCAGCCCTGCATCTCACAGATGCTACTCACAAGTCAAACAGCACATTGTGTTGTGGACAGACACCCAGGTTCTGCCTGATGGTGCTGAGCTCAGAGCGGATATCTTTGCCCAGGATGAAGGCTGTACCCGAGGTTGGGGGAAACAAGCCAGTCAAGATGGACCTAAAGGATAAACAGTAGATAAGCAGGTTTCAGCACGAGGAAATGGCTGCTGCATATGTCAGCATGAAAGAAGAGCAGGTGGAAGCCCTGGTGAACTCCCACATCAGGAAAGTAGTCCGAGAAACATCTCACTAATGGATAAAAAAATAAAATCAGTTCCAATGGTTTTAACAGTGATCAAAGCACACCCACATGACTCTGCTTGAAGGAAATTTTTTTTTTTTTCCTCTAAAAGCTTCTCATCCTTTCAGTCCCAACTAGTTTCCTTACACTGGTAAGTCAGAATCACAAATGGCATTACTAAAAATGCTGCCAGCAGATTCATTCGGCACAGCCTCAAGCTAAACTACCTCCAGTTTCAGCCCCCTGTACCTGTGCATCTTCTGACACAGCTGCACAACTAGAGGTCAGCAGAGCAGATTTCAGTGGAGCACCCTAGTCTGCACCAGCCTCCACACTGCTGTTGTACAGCTACCTCTATCATACTGACAGGAACTACAGTATTCAGAGTCGCTTCCCCCACTGTCTTAAAGCATTATTTTGTTCTTACATGGTAGTGGTTTTCCCTGCTCCATTATGTCCCAGAAAGGAGGTGATTTGTCCTTCATAGAAGTTCAGCGTGAGACCATCTACAGCAACTTTCTTGCCATCACGATAAACCTTGACCAGGTTCTGGATGGAAACACCAAGGCTCAGATGCATAGGCTCTTCCTCCTTGCAGACTGGAAGAAAACAAAAGAGAGAGATATGATAGGTTTTAACAGCAACTGTGTGGGAGGTTCTAACAAACATCACTTCCCCAGGTCTGTGGAGATCCACGGAGAAATGAGCTATATGAAGAACTGACTACATTGCTTCCTCAAGGACAGGAACGTTCCACAGAAGTTGTCCTTTAGCTCTTTTGTATCTACCAGGCTCATCTGGGAGTTGGAGACCTCTAGTGTCACCAGGGTCGGCAAAAATGGGAAGAATTCTCAACTCCATGAGGCCGGAGTACCCACCTGCAATCAAGGGGACAAAGTACCTCGGGTTTATCTGGATACACCCACCTAATAAACATACCCAGAAGTGTGACAACAAAGGGATGACCAACTTCACCTTAGCCATGCCAGTTCTGCTGTCCTTGGACTCCCCTTTCTAAAAGGCGGACCATAACATTTTACTGCGGAAAGGCTCTGTGTCCAGCACTTACCTTCTGAAGGCCCCTTCTGGTCAGGATGAGGATGCTGCCTGTCCTGTGGTTCCTCGCCAAACCAATAGGACTTTGTGAAAGGAAAGTACCAGGGCCTGGGAATCCCATACTGGCCTAAAGAGAAAAGCATTAAATGAGCCTGACTACATCTGTCTTTCTTCTTCTATTAACTTTCAGGACAAGAAGGGACATATTCCACCCCGAGTCATGCCTAACCTAGAGGCTTACTAAGAAGAGACCTTTCTTGATGAAGACACTGCCAGACTTTGGGGCTAAGAGACATCTCTTTCCCCAAACTTCACTTGAGGGTTAAAAGCCCTGTGCTGGAAGGTGCCAAGCAGCCACAAATGGTGCTGACACTCTCAACTCCTTCCCTGCAGCAGGGTCTGTGGACTTAACAGTTCAGAGAAGGGAGGAGCTGAAGTGCAGCAAAGCTTCTGGGACTAGCTCAGCCATCACCACAATGGGGTACAGCCTCTGTGCTGGGCAACAGTCACTGCTATTAGCAGCAACAACCTTACTGTGATGCTGGTCTGTGGTTTTCCTCCATGACCTTTGTGCAGCTCTGCTTAAAAATGGGCCCAGTTTGCATCTTGGCAAACGAGGAGGGTGGAACCATCTGTTTAGAAGTGTGAATTCGGAAGCAGACCTCACCTGGGAAGACAGACTCGATGTACCAGGTCATGACCCCATACAGGAAGGTGTCGAACAACATCATGACAGCAGATGTAGTGATGCTAAAGCCATCTTCTTCTAATGGGCTCTCAAAGAAGTTGTCCCACTGAACACCAACTCCCTGCTCTTCAAACAGTGCAAAGTACTCGCAACCAAAGCCAAAGGCTACTGGAGACAGCAGGCTCTGCAAACGGTAGGCATGAACACACATTCAGTTTTTCACAACTACTCTCCAACCGGGCAGCTCAGCTGTAGCATAAGGCTAAGGTACGTGGTCCGCAAGCCTTACAGGAAAAGTCAAAGGTCCCAAGGACCATGACCATACTTGCAGAGAGAGAGTGGCAGTCTTGGTTCCAGCAAGCAACGCCTGAAGTCTCTGCTGGACCACCACCCAGAATTGTTTGTTTCCTTATTTTCTTTCCCTTGCTCTTTGGTCTTTTATGTGAGGGAAGAGACCATTACCAGCCACCCTCTCCAGACAGGTAAGAAGTGCTGTGCAGGCAAAGGGCACCTGGTTCCCTCAGCCTGCATATCTGGTGGTACAACATCACAGCATAAAGAGATCAAGGCAGCTTAGTCTGGGTGAATTACTTCTACTACCAATGCCAACAAAACCCTCCCAGCAGCTCCTAGCAGGTTCAATCCACCTCTTCAACAAGCCCAGCCCTGATGGCTTCTTACACTGGAAAATTATCCTCCCACTGCCACCTCCCCTTCAGTTACCTGTGTCAAGCTAGAGAGCTGCTAAGTACCATACTAGTGGAGACCCAGTACCCAGGACAGTTTCGTCTAGACTCACCGCAAAGATCTTGAGTGAGAAGCTGACATAGTCCTGCCAGGCAACACACAGCACGTAAGGCAGGTACAACGTGAAATAGACAATTCCCCCACAGGCAGCTGCCAGGTTGGCCCTGGAGAACACTGTGCTGATGAGGAAGCACTGGAGTATGGTCACGACACCGAAGATCGACAGGAAAACGAACACCACACTAGGGTCGCTGTAAGGCAGCAGATTCCCCATCTGGCAGGAGAACAACAGGTGCATCAGGCTTTGAAAGGGCTCTCCAAGGTGGCTCTAGTACAAGCAGGTCTGCAGAGCTGCTGCTCAAGGGAGGCTAGGCATGCCGCAATTTACCCAACAGCCTTCCCAGAAGCAAGGCAGTACTGGAGTCACCTCTTCAAGAGCAATGAATCTACTACAGCCCCTCCTGCTGTTTTGAGCCACTCAGCCCCATTTTGTCCCAAAACCCTGCTCCCAAAATGTTGCTGGTCAACCCACACATACTAACTCCTCCCTGGTGTGCCAGTGCAGACCAAGCATGGTCTCAAGGCTCTAGACTCTGCTGACACAGACCAAACCAGTCAACTCACCTTAAGGATCAGCACCAGCAGGCCTGCACTCATCAGGAGAGGGATGAGGCTGCTAATGAACCAGCTTAGCCAAAGGATGCCATTGTCAAGTCCCATAATCCTCATTGTCTCCTTCAGTCGGGCTTCCTTCTCATACACAATGCCCTTAATTATCACAGCCACTGAGTAGATCCAGGCTAGAGTCATAAAGAGAGGCATGGAGCGGCTCATGACACGGAGAAATCTGAGAGAAAGAAGGAAAGGGGCCAAGAGAACAGAGAAACATCACTGCAACTTCAGGTACTACTCCAGGGCTAGCAGAGCATGGTGACAACTAAGGCTTCACTGCACAAAGCAGACAATGTACAGAGCATGACACAGGATCTGCATGAGGTGTCCCACCATGAGGTGAGGCCACTGGGTCTAGAGCACACCACCACCCCTGAGTGGAAGCTGGAGTTGCAACTGTTGCTCACTGGAAGAGTAGGTGCCAAAACATGCCTTTCCTGGGGACTGCTCTCAACTTTCCTCTTTCCACTCTCCTGTGCCCAGGTCTTTGCTTTTATCCCAGTGCTATTTTTGCCTGTATCAGGTTTGGGGACATGGTCACACCTCAGGAATGCACTCGGTATGTGAAAGTCCTGTACGGACAGTCCTTCTCCTGGGAAGGACTCTGCAAGTCATTACATATTCTACATCCTCCATGTGGGTGCCCTAATTCCAGGGATTAGGAACACTAAGGAGGTAGTAGCGTCATAAACCATGCCTGGGGAGTGACAAAAGCCCATGTTTCCCAAGCCACAATCCTCCTGGGAGCTTTTGTAAGCAGCCTGCATACATACATGTCGTCCACATAACATGGGTAGGGCATCTGCTGCACATAAACTCCTGTCTTCTTTTCTGTGCCTGTCTGCACCCTGATGATGGCCTGTTCCACCACGTCCTGAAGGTAGGCAAAGCCTCCCCAAACATAACGCATGTCCTCAAAGGGGTCAGCACGGGGACCAGGATCCCAGTACCTGCACCAAGGGAAAAGAAACCTTTTTATTAGAAATCCTCGTCACCACATCCCCCATAAGAAATTGTTCATAAGGCAGGGTGTCAGGACTCACCCATCCTTGATCTTATTTGTCCTTTCCACATTATCAATGTCCATGCGTATCTTATATTTCACATGCTGAGGGAGCTCTATGCTGTTAGGGGCTATTTCAGTGAAGACTATGCCAGCCCAGAACCTCCTTTCATCCAGAAGCTCCAAGGACTTGTTTATAAGCCTGACTTCTGTGCCCACAGGCTCCAGTTTGTCCAAATTGACACACTAGACAGGGACAGATTTCGACACATTTATGGGATAGGTTACCAAACTAGAATGTACTTTGCTTATGTTTGAGCGGGAGAAAAAAGGAGAATTCTGCAATGGTAATGCCATGCCCAAGAAAAGACGAGACTGCTGGACTACTTTGCAATGGCTCATGGTAGCCCAGCAAGTTGCTAGAGATATCTTTTTTTCCTGCTTGATGGTCAGCTGCCAGTCAAACATATCTCAGAGAAATACCCCAGCAGAGGTATTTTCTGGGCAAGAAGCTAGGTAGCATTGCCGTACTAGCTACAGGATCCCATCAAGGCATCTGTTTCCACAGAGAGATAGTCTTATTTTCTCTGTTACCAATAAGGTACGTCTGATTCAAAGCCTCTAAAAATCAGTGGAAGGACCCAAAGGCTTTGGACCAGGCCCCTGACAGGCCAAGGACTGTTTCTGTTTGCACTCATCTGCCAAGACATCAAGTAACAAGTAGAATAAATTTCGTTATTCACTACGTCTTCCTCAGCTTAAAGCAGCTGCTAGCTTCACCACAGTCCCAAGCTAAAACCCCAGACTGAAATATGAGCTGTTACACCGCCAAAGCAAGTAGCAGCTCTCAGTCACCCAGTAGCAGCAGGGTGGGAAACCACATGCAATGGCCAAAGCAAGAGCTTCAAGAACAAGGCCTACAGTTAGGTTCTTACATCTATATTTAGGTACCTGAATAAACGGTATTTTCTAACATGCTGTGTACTCAGCCCTACTAAAACCTGGTTGTTTACAGAAAACGGACCGAGGAACATCTATCTTCCAGGAACACCCCACCACATGCATGGAAACCAGGTTGTTGCCCTCCCCCAGCTCTGTGCCCACACTAGCAGGACCTCACCTCCATGAAGCGGGAGATAGTCTGGATAGCCCGGTCTGTCTCATTGAAGGCATCCACCCAGGTGTACACTGAGCCATTTGCTGTCTCAAAGTCCTCTGGACGGTTTGACAGAAAACGGGCAATGTCCTCCACTGTCCAGTTGGAAGCTGGCAAGTGCAGGTCCCAGAGAGCCTTGCCTTTCAGCAGCGTCTGCAGATGTTGTTTCAAAGGAGAAATAGTTGTTGAGAATTAATGTTAGATCTCCTATCTCATCATGAAAACAAGTACTACCGGGGAAAGCACCTCTTAAACAGGTGCAGGGAGAGGCCCTCTGCCATACTGAGAAGATCAGCATGGTGGTGTCCTTCCTCTTACCCTCCCATTGCAAAGGATTTGCCTCTCTCGGTGTAGCTACACCACTGAGCGTACTTTGCAGGCTTCATGTCCTGCCACCCCTCTTCCATGGAGAGGGCAGCAGAGAGCCACGCACAGCTCTGCACCCCGAAGATGCAAATCAGGTCTTGCACCAGCAAAGGAGGGAAGAGGGAGGTGCGCATTCAGGAGAGACTCAGTCAGACGATGGTGGTTGCCAAGTTCTGCTCACCTCTCCCAAACAAACCTCTGCTCCCGGCTGGGATGGAGAAAGGCTGTGGCACAGCCGGAGGCTGAACTGTCACAGTGTTGAGCAGAAATACCAGCACCAGAGTCTGGGTGGCTTTTCTTACTTATTTTGCTATTGCACCATCAGGGCTTGGTGAAGCAGCCTTGTACAGCCATGATGTCCTGCCTCTCTGTTCTCCTATCTGGGACAGTGCTTTTTTTCACCTGGTTGAACTGCTAGCTTTCGGAGGACGGGCTATTGCCCCACTACGTGTATGCACAATGCCCCACACAAGCACAATCCAGGTAGAAGCATCTGGCATTGAAGGAGAAACCAGTCTTTTGGGCAGACAATATAAAGGCAGAAGCAGGAGGGGGGCATTAATTGTAAAGGATACAGTTGAACTGATGTCAGGAAGAAAAAAAAAAAAAAAAAGCCTGCACAAGAGAAAACTGTAAAACCCCTAACCAATAAAAACAGGAAATGGTTTTTCTGCTAGAACAAAGAATGGATAGGAGAGGTGAGGAGCTTCCTCGTGCCCTGCTGTTACCAGCAAACCAGAAAGTTAGGGTCACACAGCTACAAAAACAGCCTTGCTAACTGAGAAAACAGAATGGGCGAAGCTGGCAAAGGAAAACACGCAAAAGGGAAATCTGAGCAATCAGGGATCATGTGCACTGCACTCTCTTCACATTTGGTCTCTCATGGTTGGCTTGTGCCACCACTCCCAGCAGGAAGGGCACCATGCCTGCAGGGAAGGGGCTCAGCCTCATCACATTCAGTGGCAACATTAAAGCTCCTTAACTTCAGGGCCACATGTTGTCCTCCCTGAAGTTAGCATCCACATTAGCATCAAGCTGGAAGTGCCAGAGATGAGCAAGCAAAGCACTTTCTTCTCCTACAGCGGGAAGCAATATACCAAACAGACTGCACAACCCAGAAAGCTGGGAGGTGGTCACCCAGCAGCATGGCAGCCTCAGTGGCTAAAAAACAGCAAAGGACCAAACTTGCCCTTGAAAGGAGCCACAAACAGGTAACTCTATGTTTCAGCCCATTCATGTACAAGTGATCTGTGCTGCACCTCTAAACTGAATGGGATGCTGCCTGGGAGCTGCCCAGGAATTGCAAGTGAAGTACTCCGCTTGTGTGAACTGCCACAGGCAACAACAAACGAACCTCTGCTACTGCACCAATAGAGGAGGAGACCAGGCTGCTGGGAAGATCAAGAATTAACTACCAGAGCCAGCAGGGTTAACAAGAAACGTAAAATACAAAACCAGGAAAGCCCAGGGCTCATTTAAAAGAAAAATAAAAAATGAAGCAACATTCACTTTTCAAAAGGACACAACTACAAACCAATATCCAAACCTTGACTTTCTGTCTACATTCTCTGCAGCAAATGGTTCAATTTACAGTTGGTGGCCCTGATTCTTACCTCCTGATGCCAACATTTATAGAATTAAGATTCATAAAGCCAACAGAGGCACAGGAGTGATGAAAATGATGTCTCTGACACTCTAGTATGTCATGTTGATGGGAAAGTGCAACAGGGCAGGTCAGAGACTATTCAGCACAGCAATACATTGAACTTCAAGGCTTAAGAGACCTGGGGAGCTATTTGTATAACAGTTGCACTATGACACTCAACCAGCTGCCTTGCAGAGACAGCAGGAAAAACTACTTGACAACTGTTTCTCCGTTGCGCAATCCCAGTTTTAGATCACTGTGCTACCAAAGACGCCAGCATGGGGTGCAGAGATCCACCCCTCAAATTTGCACCTGAGGGAAGCAACAGTGAACTACGCCTCAAACCAGGACAGCTACTTAAGCAGATAATGCCCCAGTAATGCAGGTCTAACAGCTGGCATAATGCTCCAGGGAGCCAAGAGGCTAGCAGAAAGCATGTCAAAGCTGAACAAGACTCCCAGCCCCTTCTTCATGGTCTGGTATGCATGGCACACTATGAAGCAATCAGCCGCAGGGTGATGTTTGCTCTTCTCCCATACTTCTCACAAGTATTACTAAATTAAGCATACAGTGCAACTCCAAAATAAGTTTTTACGTGAGTTGTGCCAGATTACTGCCAGGCATCTAGGTTCTGCTATAGCATGACAACCATTCAATTCTTACTGTACCCAGTGGGACCCGAGGCCACCTGGCACCTTCCAGAATCTGATCTAGGTATATGACCACTCACTTTGCTGCTATCGTGAGAGCACTGTTGCGGAGAAGGGATCAGCACAGGGAGGTGAACATGTCACCAACCCCATAGGTCCCCAGTTTACAAAAACACACCAAGCCAAGTATTCATACTGCATTAGGGCAACACTGTGGAAGAAAAAGCCCATTTCCCCACAGAGGCAAATGAGAAACAGGTGTTAAACATGCACTGCTCCTGTTTGCAGCAGGTTGTTACACGAAGGAGGGAATGCCAAGCATAATTCGAGATTGGTACAACCACAATGTGTTTTCAAGAAGGGGTCTTATGCATACGATTTATCTGGCCAGCTCAGCACTGAAGCACCATCTAAAATAAGTATTTCATCACTTATTACAGAAGACAACAATGGCGGTTCTGGCAAGGACAACATACTGACCCGAATGAGATCCATTTCCTGACTACTTTCCATAAACGTCCAGATCTTCGGGCTTATCTCCTCCCACATCCCCCCGAGGTCACGAAACACACCCAGCTCCTGGAACGTCCTGTTCACCTGTTGGCGAAGAGGAGAGGAAGGTTATTTCCAAAAGCTGGCAGAGATCCACTTCAGGCTAAGAGGGTGCATTGACCTGTCAAGCAAAGTACTAAGAGTTGCTTATATTCAAACAGCAGCTCAGCTTCTGCAAGGACCAGAATAGGGAAAATCAAGCACGCCTGAAAGGAAAGCAACAACAGGGAGCATGGATGCCTGTGGCTGAGCACTGCCTTTCAAGGCTTGGTGGCAAATGAGCCTTGGAGATGAAGGACACAGAGGCAGCCCCTCCCCATGTGCTAGAAGAATCTTGCTGAGAGCACTTGGGGAATCACAGAGCACATTAGTTAAACCACAATAGGAAGTGATTAAGGATCTGCTGACCAGCCTGCAGTGGAGGAGAGGAAGGACACCTGAAGGCTTATGAAGGTCTTCCCCACTCCCATACCCCACATCAGAGATGCAAAGTCTGTGGATAATCAAATAGCATCAACAGGAAAGCTTCCAGCCAAGTCTAGAAAAAGAGTTCAGCCTGGCCTTTTCTCCTTGAGCCTTCAACAGCAAATGCATGGGAGGTGAGAGAATAGGGAGGCTGTGCTTTGCAGGCAATCCTTTCTAGGCTTCTGTTTGGACCCAATTTAACACAGAGCAGCTAAGCTGCACAGCCAGAGGACATACTTCATTCTATGTATCAGAGGATAGGGCTAGAGTTACCTCAGTCATGACCTTCCTTATGGCTGGTGTATCTGGAGTGTACAAGATCTTCCCAATCAGCAAGGGCTTCAAAGCCCTCCAGATAATCCTGGAAAGCGGGCTGGATTCCAGGTTCTTCATCAGCTCATTGCAGTAGGGTGCTGAGGAGGAGAGGACAAGGCTGAGTGGCTGAACAGCACAGTGACAACTGCAGAAGGCATATGCCTCACTTGTGTGGGCTTTAAAGGACAGTCACAGCTGAAAGCACAGCATTTGTGAGATAACAAAAATCCTCCTCTACTGCAAAGCTCCACAAAAAACCCTTTTCGGTCTAAGCCTCCAGAGTCTGCCCAGCAAACACGGAGCACCCAGGTAGTCTCCAGCATTAAAAGCCACACTGCTAGTTCTGCACCGCTCCCACAACCCCGCTGCACAGCACGACCAAAATTTGTCCAGAAAAGGCCAGATTTCCAACGGCTGCACATGACTGTGCTCCCGCTCTCCCTGAAGAAGGTCCGCGCAAGGCCTTTGGGAATCCCTTGCATGGTGATACCCCCACTGGCCTTAAGGCATGTGCAGGTGGCAGCATGGACATAACTTTCTGAAACAGCAGAAGGTATGCTGTCCCTCAGGACCACCTGCTTTCATATGTGGAAGTTTGGGAAACACTAGCAATGACAACGATCAAGTAGATGGTTACACTTACTTGTGGAGTTATCATAGAAGTTAGTTACATCATCTTCAGTGCTGTTGCCTCCAAACAGTGCTTTGTAATTGTTATCCTCATACCAGTTGAGGGATTTAATTTTGAGCCCTCCACCTTCAGGATGGCCACACACAATGCGTGACACAGCCTGGTAGATCTGCGTAGAGGAGTTTGAGGCATTCACATTGGTCAGGAACATCACCTCTTGCCTCATGTCGCTCCAGCTCTTCATGCTCAGCAGCTGGAGGGGGAGGTGGGAGAAGAGAACAGAAGCCGAGTTAGGAACAGGATTAGCAAAAGAAGATCTTGCCACTTTCCTTCCCATCATACATCTCTTTTTTAACAAATGAGAATCCCCTTGAACGCAACATCAACAGCGAAGACCAGAGAAAGCACATTTACCCCCACCACAGTGGGAGAACATGGAGGGAAGCTTTTTCTGTGCTTGCACAAGGAACATGCCTTTGCCAAGCTCTTTACTCTTAAGTTTTCTTCTCCAGTGCTGTGGGTGGTTCTTGCCCTCCCTGCCCTCTCACATGGAAGCTCCTTCTCTTCCGGTTGCACAACAACTCACATTCCAGAGGACCCCCCTCACACCAGGCAGGGTGGGGTGCACTGAGTCAGGAGAGGGAGTAAGGAACAAGACAAACAGTGCAGCTCATGGGACACAGACTGGATGAGCTGCAGTCCCCAGCAGTGTCACCTGACGATTCCACCAAGGTCAGCAAGCTTCCACTGATTTACAGCAGGCAGCCAGTTTGATCTCCTAGATAGGTATTGCTTGTCCCTGCACCGGCACTTTGCTGCCCTGTTGTCAACAGCATTCCCAGAAAAACCTTGAAAACAAGCCCAGCTGCAGCCTGAGCAGCATGAGCTGTTCATGCAGCCAGCCACAGCAAGAAGCCTTCTCCTGCCCAGCAGACCTGACACCAGGGTCAAGGTGACAAGGCACAACTAGCCAGCACAATTGACACCTCTGGACTCATTTTTCCTGGCATAAACATCTACCTGCAATATGTCACGAACAAAAGCACCAGGCACTCGGCCCCAGACGCTCACTGTGTTAATGTTGCCATACCCAGAGGCATGGCCAAGCTCACTACAAAGGAAAAAGCAATGCACCTCCATGAGCAGTGGTTTCCCGCTACACTCACAGAATTCACAGAATTGTTAGGGTTGGAAGGGACCTCTGGAGATCATCTAGTCCAACCCTCCTGCCAGAGCAGGGTCACCTACAGCACGTTACACAGGACAGCGTCCAGGCGGGTTTTGAATGTCTCCAGAGTGGGAGACTCCACCACCTCTCTGGGCAGCCTGTTCCAGTGCTCCACTACCCTCAAAGTAAAGAAGTTCCTTCTCATGTTAAGATGGAACTTCCTATGTTCAAGTTTATGCCCATTACCCCTCGTCCTATCACTGGGCGCCACTGAAAAAAGACTACTCCCATCCCCCTGGCATCCTCCCATTAAGTATTTGTATGTATTAATAAGATCCCCCCTCAATCTTCTTTTCTCTAGACTAAAGAGACCCAAGTCCCTCAGCCTTTCCTCATAAGAAAGGTGCTCCAGTCCCCTAATCATCTTTGTTGCCCTTTGCTGGACCCTCTCCAGCAGTTCCCTGTCTTTCTTGAACTGGGGAGCCCAGAACTGGACACAGTACTCCAGATGCGGTCTCACCAGGGCAGAGTAGACGGGGAGGATGACCTCCCTCGACATGCTGGCCACACTCTTCTTGATGCACCCCAGGATGCCATTCGCCTTCTTGGCCGCCAGGGCACATTGCTGGCTCATGGTCATCCTGTTGTCCACCAGGACTCCCAGGTCCCTCTCCACAGAGCTGCTCTCCAGGAGGTCAGCCCCCAACCTGTACTGGTGCATGGGGTTATTCCTCCCCAGGTGCAGTACCCTACACTTACCCTTGTTGAACTTCATAAGGTTTCTTTCTGCCCAACTCTCCAGCCTGGCAAGGTCACGCTGTAAGGCAGCACAGCCTTCTGGCGTGTCAGCCACTCCTCCCAGTTTTGTGTCATCAGCAAACTTGCTGATGGTACACTCTATCCCTTCATCCAGATCATTGATGAATATGTTGAACAAAACTGGGCCCAGTACTGACCCCTGAGGGACACCACTTGTTACTAACCTCCAACTAGACTCTGCGCCACTAACCACAACCCTCTGAGCTCTATCTATACTCTATACTGGAGCATTGCTCTCAGACTCCCTGTCTGTAGATGCAAGAACATCAGCAGAGATGTGGTCCCTATGGACTCGAAGGCTGTTAATCTCAGAAACCTCTGTGGTGGTGACAATAAGTGGATGTTAGGAAAAAATTAGGCAAGGGCAAGAATATACGATACTTCCCCCAAGTAACCTTCCAGCTTCCATCTGTTTTCAGCTCAGGGAATTTCTATTTCCTAACCCTTGATGAATTTCTTCTATGGTAAACTACTAGAGTTTTGAACACACACAAGTGTTTAACACCCAACACATCACTGGAAAGAACCTCTTCTCCCCTCTCCTTAACTTGGCTATGGTTAGCTCCACTTGTTGCCATGTTTTTTTCACTGGAAGAGACAGTGAACATTCAAGCCCTATCTCTTTTTTTCTGGGCCACCCAACTCTATAGACCTCTGTCATACCCCCAACTCAACTCTTTTCCGAGCTGACAAGTCCCAGCCTACTCCCTTGCTCCTTGTGAGAAAGTCATTCCACTTCTAAATGTTTTAATTGCCCTTCTCTGAACTTTTTGCACTTCTGCTACCCCTTTTTCCAAAGGAAGGGCCTAGATCTGTATTTTGTATCAAACAGGAGGGCAATCCACAGTTTTACATAGTGTCATGGTAACATCTTGCAGCTGGTTCTCTATACCTTTTAAAATCTTTTCTAGCATTCGATCCGATTTCTTGACTGTTATTGAAATATCAGGTGACATTAACTTGGATGTTCTTGCTGTGCTGCCCAGAACAGTAACATGCACTAATAAGGGCAAGCAGAGCTGCTGAGACACCTATTTGTAACTGCTCATCAGCTGCATCTCAGAAACAGCTTTAGATACTGTGGCCCAACTGCCCCGTTTTCAGAGACAATAACAGAGTCAGTCAAAGACCATCTGCCAGTTTTGCTCACTGTGTATCGATTTTTGTCACCTTTGTTTAAATAAAATGCAGATAATCGAAGTCTAGGCCAGCTGGCAAAGCCAGCCAGCAACAACGCAGAAAGTGACAGTGTGCTGGAACAATTCAATCCACATTCACTCAAGGAAAGCACACCCGAGAGTCTCTGGCCTTACCCTGGGAGGCAAACCTGACCCTTTGTGTTCATCTGTACCACTGTGCATGCTTTAGATATGCCAACATCTGGACAAAAATTCTTGATGCTAAACAACAGCTACTATGTGTCACATACAGAAGGAGCCTCTATTTTAGCTGCCTGAAAACACATGACACATTGATACGATGAAAGACAGCTGTGAGAACAGCTAAAGCCTGGGGACTCAGGACATGTGTCCAGAGTGACTGCTTAAAGTGTACTTTGATTTCCTCACTACTGCCTTTGTCTGCACTCTGGTGCCACTCAATCTGGCTCCACAGGTTCAGGGTGACTGACAGGACATGAATGAAAAAATGTCACACAACAGCTTTTGTTGGTTACATATGCTCACGTGGATTTTCGGATTTGATGATTCCTCACCCAAAAGGCCAAGGCTGCACTTCAGGTGTGACAGTGAGTGTTCGATTCAAAGGGAGCTCTTGGGGAGTTTTTGGTACATTAGGTAGAATAGATGATTTTTCCTTAGCAAAAAGTCAACTGCTTTAGCTAAAGCTAAACTCCCTAACATAAGCAAAGGTACACAAATAGGAAGTGCAGCTAATTCCCATGAATGTACGAGGTGTTAAGCATCTTGCAAAGGCATTGCATTAGCAAATACATTTTTACACGTAATTTTAGAACAATTTGAGCAAGGAGCTTTGTTTCATCTTTGACACCAGCAACTTTACAACTGACATGCAGAGCTGCTCTATTCACACCACTGGAAGCAAGTATCTCCTGTGTGAAGGGTTACTCAGCTATTTCTCCTCCCAGACATCAGACCTGGGTTTTTAGGTGTTTCTTAATAGTTGTCCTTGCTCTCAGCGTTTCATCTGCTCTCCTAGGTTGATTTAAAGAGCCCAGGGACACAGACCAAATCAATCCCCATACTCAGAGACAAATATTTTGTTCAGACCATTCTCTAATTAAAATTCCTTGCTAGAAAGGCTTCTAGACATGGCACAAACAATAGTTCTCTCCACCCCCTGAAGCTGCTGCCCTTCAAAACAAGGGAGCAAGTCCCTCCTTTTCACACAGAAATCAGCCTGCCAGACAATAAGAAGTAACTTTCGGTCAAGCCATCTGGAGCAGCTCACGCTGTACGCAGAGGAAAAAGCTGCCTTTGTTTGCACAGCAGTAGGGCAGAATAAAAGGTAGTCCTACCCAAAACAGCTGCCAAGCAAAAGGCACACTACCCTGGGACATTTTCAGCCACATCAGCAAACTGAATATCACATGGTTTCAATTATTTTTATCCCAGACAAGAAAAAAAGGCGAGCTTAAGTGACGTAACGGGAAACAGCTGTAATCAAACTCTGAAGGGCAGCCTCCCTGCTAGCAGCAAGAGCTCTGCCACGGTCTTAACTGAAGCTGATCCTGGAATCATCTTAATTTCACTGTAAATGGGACCCAGCGGCAGGTTGTGGGACTCTGGGAGGGATGCGTGCCAGGAATTGTTGGCTGGCATGGCGCTGGCTCCCGGCAGCCGGCCCTCCGTGGGAGTGGAGTGCACACTAACCTGAAGTGACCCGCTCTTGTGCGTGCTCTCAGAGGTTACTGCCGTTCACGGCTCTGAGCTCTTTTGCTCTGATGCAAAGACAGAAGACTAGCAAAGGGGAGGAGGCGGTGGCAGCATTGTTTAGTTTAGATGGTTGTGATTTCTGCTGCAGGGAGAGAATGTTTTTGCCTACTAGCAGCACTTGAAAGTCACAGCCAGCCAAAAAGCAACTAAGATAAGTTTGTGGCTCAAACTGCCCCCCTCCCCCCAAGTTTTAGACTTCTGACTCATGTTAGGCATGCAGGTCTTTTTCCTCTATCCATCGTTTCACCTGCAAAAACAAATACTTGCAGTCTCTATAATGTCACTTTGCCTCTGCAAATTGCCATTTATGTTTTGCCAGAGCCTTTCTGAGCCAGCGTTGTGATGCCATTGCACTGAGTACCCCACAAGGACCGGAAAACCATCTCTGCCCCCAAAAACTAGTTAGACAAAGAGCAAACAGTAGCCTACAGCTACTAATTTAGATTAGCACAGCCACACCACCTCTTCCACATGCCACATCATCACCACACCCAGAGACCACTAGATACAACCAAGTAACATCCCTGACACGATTGGCAACTGAGTGAAAAAAATAGAAAGGAGGCAAACCTCCACATGCGGTTTTCAAGGCACTGCTAGGCAGCAGATGTATTGCAATCCCAACAGTTGCGCCACTGCTGAGAAGGCGAACCCCCCAGAAAACGTCTTAACTCCTGCTCCTCCCATGAGGACCCAATCTTTAGACACACATCTGATAAAGTCATATGGTGTTTGTAACTTGAAGTGCCAAGGGGTTGCAAAGTGCGTGCTGCCACTGCTGACACAGGCTGTAGGATGGGAGGAAGTTTCAAAACAAGGCAGGGATCTGACTTTGAGTTGCACCAAGGAGACTCGTGCTTCTTGTACTCAACTGCAGGCTAAGACAGGAGCCACGGTGATGTGTCCTCCTGACATGAAGGCACTCCTTACCTCTTTAACAAGCTTCCCAAGGCTCTCTCTCAAAGCTTCCACAGTTTCTGACAGATCCTGCAAGGAGGAATTGAAAGAAAGTCGACTCTGCAGGAAGAGAGAAAAGGAAACCAGAAGTCACTGCAGGGCACAAACAAAGAAATTAAATTCTTGTAAACATTCTTGTAAAGAAGAGTAGTAAGGACTGTTTACATAGCAAAGTGTTTGATGGGGAAGACAGAGCTGGCTTTCTGTGCACTCTTGAGCTTAAAATACCCTGGGCTTCAGCACCCCACAATATAATGGGGACACCCCTTTCCTTCCTCACAGGTTAGGTACACAGATGCCACAACCAGAACCATCCAAATAAAGTGCTAAATGCATGCATGTACACTTACAGTGCAAATGATGGCTTGCATTCCAGGTCACAATACAAGCACAGCCTACAGGACAGCATGTGGACAGACCTGAAATCCTGCAAGCCAGTGCTAAGAAGGGGATGTAAAGTTTACACAAGGGAGGAAAAGATAAGTTGGTAGACACAAGCTTTCAGCGGGACTCCACGGATACCAGCTCAGATATGGGGAACTCCTGCTGCAGTGCACTTCAATACTCAAGTTCTCCCATGAGGCCTTGACATTTTTTTATCTAAACCAAGGGCGTATTTTAAAACAATCAGCTTCCATGAAACAGCTGACACCATAATCACAAAAGAAAGACTGGCAGGTTTCCAGAAGTGGAAGGCACAGCTTTCAGAAAACTATTTGCTCTAGCAAGGAGTTGCACTGAAGACAACAATTTGTTTCCAGTTGGTCTACATGTAACTGGTGGGTCTGGGTTTTGGTTTGTGGTGTTCTTTTTCCCTTCTGTTCATGTGGGGAACATTGGACACAATCCTTCTTTCAAGGGAATGAAGATTAAAATAATTTCTTAAGATTTCATGTAAGCAGCTACACATTGCAGCATTTGAAAGCATGCTAAAGTTACAGCATTGTGACACACAGAGGAACAGCCAAGGCCCTTGATGTCTTTTGCACATGTCTTTTGGGCTGAAGCTTTTTCTTTTCACATCTTTCCTGGGGCAATTTCTGGAAGCCAAGTCTGGAGGCTTTCACTTGTTCTAGCTGATTGCTGGAGGGAGATAAGACCTGGTTAGTGCCAGCTGGTATAAATGGGCACTGTTCCACTGATCTGCTGGGGCATTTAAGACCCAGCTAACTTTCCTGAGTCCACAGTTAGTGCCTGCTCCAAAGCCAGCTGCAAATTCAGGGAGGTTTTCTCTAACCTGTATGGAGTCCACAACACTGCTAATACAGTCCTTAAGGTCTAGATAAATTAAAACACATCATTAAGGCTAAAAGAAAATAAATTCAAATTCCCCACAGGCTGAGACCTTCAAGACATATTTAAAGAAATATAGTTAGCAAATACCAAAGCTACGTATCTGCACTACCACTTCAGCAACAAGATGAGATAGAAAAAGTCCTGAATACAACTCACTGTATTCAGAGGTGATTCAGGGACAAGGTGGATAAGGAAGAGTTTTCTGATGATACTAATTGGTTCAGAACAGTGAAAAGTCAAAAGCCAATTGCAAAGGATTAGTGAAAGGCTTCATGCTGACACAGTTATAAAGTGCCAGGTGAAATTCAGTCCTGCAAAGTAAAGTACACAGGGAGAAGACAGGTATACTTTAAGACAACCTTCAATGGGTCTGAACTAAGTACTGTCACTCAGAAAGGGAGATCTTAGAATTACAGATCAACATCCACAATGCAATCCTAGTTCTCAAGTACTAGGTGCAATTTTGGGCCCTCCATCTCTGAAGGAACACGAGTACAGAAGAAGGCTACACATATGATTCAAGATAAGAATGGCTTCTGAAGGAAGAGTAATAGACAACAATTCTTCCAATGGGACCTGTAATGACAAATAGAGGTTATGACAGATCTGTAGAATTTACAAGTGGGATGGAGAACGGGAACACGGGATGATTGCTTATTGCACCTATCATACAGGACTAGAGGCTTCCAGTGAAAAGATCAGTTTAAATCAAACCAAAGGAGCTACTGCAAACACAACTTAGCCAAAATGGAGAAATTCAGTAGATATTACGCAGTGCTGAAGGTACCAAAAGTTAATATGAGTTTGAGAAAGGCTTAGAAGAACTCATTACAGAAAAAAGCTTACCAAGTGCTATGAAGCACCAAGATCCCAGCAGTAGCTGAGAAAGTCGGAGTTGCAAGCTACTGAAAAACAGGATATTACATTGAGGAGATGTTACTATATAAGTGCCCTATGGCTGCATTCTTTCACATGCTTCCATTATGAGCCACTGCTGACTAGCACTCGGAGGACAGCGAGCTGAACAGGACTTTGGTGTGACCCAGTATACAAGTCTCAGGTGATTCAAGAAGCTTGCAAACCTTACCCTGAAACACGAGGAGAACCCACCTATCCTTTCACATGCCACCAACCTGACCTTTCTTCCCTAACAAATTCACAGCACTCCGAGTTCACTTCTCACCAGAATTTACAATGATACCATTACTATGGAGGGAATTTTGTTTTCTTTACCACCATCCCTTTGCACCCTAAAGACCACTCGTGGAGCCTCTCACAAATCATATCTCTAGAGACAATGACAAAAATCAGCCACAGGTGGCCAGTCATCTTTGTGCAGATGAGCATGTAATGAATTTCCCTGGAAAAGGACTCTTTCTAGTGGGTCTTAAAAGTAGTTCATTACATTCATAGGAGTACTCCAGACTCATGGTGGCTCCAGTAAGTTGGTCCCACTATGAGGGGTGTCTTAAGTAGGTCTCTGCACTAAATATTGGCGGGGGGGGCGGGAGAAAGCATGGCAACGACTCATTCTCCAGTGAAACGCTGGAGAAACATCACCTGTCCCTTCTAGGCACACTGTGGAAAAACAAAGTTCTAGCAGCTTTTGAACAGAGCTGCCCTGTACTATTACTGTGTTAGTGGCTGGTAAGTCATGCCTTCATCTAGAGTTGTCTTTCGGGCCAGCCAACATTGTAATACTCTTGAGGTACAGACTGCACTGAGTGGACTCTGTGTGCTTATATATGCATGCTACAAGGCTCAAAAGAGACGAATACTTGAGATGACGAGAGCTGACTGCACAGTCAAGACAAGTCGAATAAGTCCACCTGTCAGCTCCTGTGAGCAGGGATGGACGTGTCTGTTTCTTTAACATGCAGGAGAATGCATGTGTTTGAAGTGTTACAGAGGTCATAAAACTGAGCCACTGTCTGCATCATACAGCTAACTGTTTCTGCTTAGTGAGACCACTCCGCCGTGTTTCAAATTAAACAGCTATTACAACTTTATACTGATCTTAGCAGAAACTTTACACTGAACTTTGCAGAAAAATCACATGCTTTAAGCTTCTGCATTTGTTTCCTGGGAGTGGATGTCCCAAAATACAGCTGCTTAAAAGCACGATATCATCACTCTTGCCTGAAAATGCTCTCACAAGAGCAAGGAAGCCACAAGGTTAGTTGCAGCACGTATTTACCTTAAGAGACCTTTTCTAAAGCCATTTTTCAACTGGAATGCATTTATTATTCAATGCTTACTTCATGCTAACCATATGACAAAATACCACCCATATTATGAAGGGAGAAAAAACAACTGGATTTTCAGATGCTCACCCACAGTCCAAGGTGACAAACTGTAACATATTTATGGCTTATTATAGACCCACACCACTGGAAGTGAGTGTGGAAAAGCCCTTCTTAGACAGCGCTGCAGACATGAAATCCCACAGAACCAATTTGAATTATCTTTGTCATTTAACCTTTCCCCCAAATAATTTTCAAAACTGGGGAGCTTTGAAGAGGGAAAGCTGTACAACAGACAGGTATTTTTATGATGTAAGACAGTCACCACCCATCACACCAGTCCAGTGGGACATCTCTAACTTACTGCCATTGCTCTTGCTAACCAGGGTTGCCTGTAACCTTCCCCAAACTGTGTAGTTCTTCCATGGGACAAATGCTGGCCCAGCACAGACAGAAAGCCAAAAAGGAAATTTGTGTATACACAATGAGAGGTACTATTTCACTGTTGTTCTAAAACCAGCTTCTCCTGCCTCGCAGTCTCACTGACTACACCCAGTGCAAGGCAAACCTCAAAAAGAAAGGGTGTGTCCACAATGTACCAGGTGCCCTATGGTCCATAGTACTTATTGTTGGCCAAAAGGCTTCACAGAACGGATGAAGATGCGAGTCCTAGAAAAGAGAATCAGACTTTTTGAAACACTTGTTGCTTCTAGTGGAGTGAATACTCAGTCAAGAAGGAAAGCTGATCCTCTGCCTTGGCCCCCTGTGATCACTCCCAGATATTCTGCTGGGTTTTGATCTAAACAGCCCACCCCAAATAGGTTCTTACATAAGAAAGAATAAGGACACACACTATAACCTCCCTACCATACCTCTATGGGCTTGGCTTTGTTTTCTCATCCTGCAGAGCAGGCTAAATTGAAGTCACACAAAGCATCAGTGGCAGAGCTAGAAATCCTAGTGGAAAATTTTAATTAGAAGTCCTTCTTTGTCTTAACTGCATTTTGAGCAACACTGAAGCTGTTCTAGATAGAACTGATGAGCAGGTATGTAAAGAAAGGTGTTTACTTTTTGCCTTTCTTTTTTAAAAAAAGCTTCCTTAGCATTGCTGTGACATTTCAAGCTCAAGCATTTCACTACGGACACACTTTAATTTCCTTTTTAAAAATGTGCTCTGTCCATAATTTACTAATAATGAGTGTTTTGTTGCGAGTTACCTAGAACACTTACAGTTTCCCTCAGGCTGCAAATGCACATACACTTCAAGCTGGCAGAAGCAGGTGTTGATGTCAGGGTCTCAGCCCACATACACACACCCTGACCACTGGGTTCTCAATCTTGCACCCTCCCCTTCATGTTTGTGTAAGCACACAATCAGGTCAGTCACTTTTAATCCAGATCAATTCTGTGATGTAATTTACTGCATCGTCTTGCAGAGGGAACAACAAATGGGAATGCAGAGGGGCAGGAACAGGCAGGTGGATGCTGGCCTGAGTTTTCTGGATTAAGATAGTTCAGGAAACTATAGCCACTCTACTGGCCAGATAATTGAGTAAAACCTCCTGTTTTACTAGTCAAGCCCTGGTGTTGAATTTACACAGTTCTTGCATGCAGTTGCAAATCCTTTTCACTCCAATTGTGTTGACCTGATCATACTAAGATGCTGCCTCTCCACAAGTCACAGAACATTGCAAGCAGTGGAGCCCATGTCCCATTACATGAGCCAAAAACCTGCCTCTGAATTGCTGCTGTAACTGCATTTGATTTGGCCCTTAGTTTTACTTACTGAAATGCCATGCTGTGAAGTACATCAAGGGGATTAAGCAAAAAAATTAAAAATCTATCTCTGGGGAAAATGTTGGCATTGATTTATGGGCTCTGTAGTGGATAGGTGCATGCTATTTTCAGTGTGCATGTCCAAGACTTGACCCACTGTGCCTTTAATGATATGCTATGTCAAGAGCCTCCTTTGTTCATGAACAGAAAGTTACCTCTTTGTTCAGAGATGTTACTGCAGGTCAAGGCACTTCTTGGCCTTTAAAGACACTCAGTTTCAAATGTGTTGGTTGTGATCCTAGAGTTAATTTATTCATTTTGCCTGGCCACACTGAAGCCAGTTGATTTTCATTTCACTGTGATGCATTACAGCAGCTTAACTAGTCTGTGACATTTTTCTGCGGAAAACTGTGGATCTTTACAGGACAGCATACATACACAGCAGGTTTAGAACTGCTGGCTTCTAGACTCGATTTTTTTTTCCTTTGAAGCCAAGATCATGAGCCAGCTTCTTGGAAGTCCCTCAAAATTGCACATAATGTCTATATCTACTTTGCTGTTGCCAAGTGGCACAGAGTGGCTTATTACTGCTTTCTTTCACCAACAAACAATATAGATGTAACTACACAGATATACTTAGTACCTGTGTGTGTCAGCTAAATTTTAGAGGCTTCCACAAATGAGAAAAGCAAGACAGAGGCTCCGGAGGGCCCAGAAGACCAATACTGAGTTCTACTATAGCTGGCTAGTTTCAACCCCTTTGGCCCCCAAAATTCCAGCATCTCTGAATGATGTGAAGTAAATGCATGCATACACATCTAATTGAACATAAGAAACCACTTACAGCCATTCCTTTTCAAACAGCCCATCTTTTTTACAGTAACAATTTTAGTGCCGTTACCTCATCTCTTAGTGCTTATGATTATCTTGCTCTTCCATAAGGAAAGAAAAAATGCAGATGGAGGACATGTGGAAAATGGAAGATGAGCTGTGGACAGAAGTAACTGACCACTATGTACTGTGCAGAAGAGTAATATGATCCCAGTACTTGATAATGACCCCCTTTGACTGGGGACAAAGCCAAGCAAGTGGTACATGACTTTCAGTCCTGAAGGGCTCATCAAATCTGGAAACTCACACAGCCCAAGTGTTTATTTCTTCCACAGCAGACAATAGAGTGTTTGTTTTAGCGAGTAACAGAGTGGGTTCTGTGGTCCCTTCTTCCCTCTACTGGTATTTCCAGCACTAACTTCCTCAAACTTTTGTATTTTACCAGATATTGCAGACCTATAACAAAGCATCACTGGAGTTTCCTAGATAAACAGGTAAGTCCGCTCCCGTATTCAATGCCCCCCCCCCCAGTAATGTATTTTCCTGAAGTTCAATGAATTCTTGCTCCAAAACCAGTTGGTCAATCTTTGAAACAGAGCTTTAAAACCTGACTCTTCTTTGTATGAGAACTCAAAGGAAGTTGAAACTTCTGCACTCAGAAGCCCCATAGTAAAAGCAGAGGGTGATGGTTTTAGCACTCAGCACAGGCCGGTCTATTATCTGGGCTAGTTCCAGCCAAGACACAACATCTGACCAAAATACAGGGACAACCAAGAACCTGTTTGTTAGGATGCAGCATAAATATTTTCCTCTTGACAAACTGAACTTCAGACCACACACATTTATGCTCCACAAGTACCACACTGCAACAGGAATGGTAAGAATGACAGGAAGAAGCAGTGTTGTTCATGCTCCAGTGATAAAGGCCATCTTTCTTCTTTCTTACTGCCAATGAACAGTTCACTCTGGAAATGCAGGGCTGAGTTCCTAGACTGAAAGCCCTAGAAAATGTCACGTTGTCAATGTCAATCTCTCACAGGTGGGACCAGTGGACTCACCTGAAGGGGCTTCAAAGGATTCAGGTTAGCACGGAAGGCTTGCTCAGCTGCATGAAGTTTTTCCTTTGGCAAGGTGCAAATGAATGCTTCAGAGCCCATGGCCACCGTCCGATTTTGGATTGTAAGAAACTCAGACAGTGTTGAGCTATTGCAGAGATCTCGCAGTCGCATTCGGTAGCCAGACACAATGACCTGGAACAGTGGGAAAAGCATGTAAGTCTCCCTTCATGTAAGATTCATAGCACAAAATCGGTTGTCACCTCGACAAAACTAACCATTCATAATGCTTCCAGATAGAGGTAAGAGGGCATTCTTCCCTACAGGTTGCACAGCCCTGACCATGCGCAACTAAATTCCAAGAAAAACATGTTTCCCTGATGAGTACATGGGGGAGAAGTCCTGGGGGAGGCAGGTCTCTCTCCACTTCTCCACAAACACGCACAGGGCAGCAGTGATCCTGTCCTCCACAGCAGCCATTTCCTCCAACCAAGGGTACATGCATTGCCTAATCTTCAGTCTTCTGGGAACTGAGCCACAGAGACAAACAAGGCTTGTGACCAGACACAAGTCTGGCAAATGTATGTGAAGGGCAAGAGACCTATGTCCCAAACTCCTTAGATATATCTGCCAGCCACATTTTCTGTGCTGTTCTGGATCAGGATCACCTTCTCCCTTTGCTCTGAAGTATCTCTTTACTATCTGCACAGCGAAACATTTTGCAGTGTTTCGGGGCAGATAATGTATCAGTGAAAAAAACAATTACCTTAATGGCTGAAACAAACAAGAAAAAAGATCCTCAAGTCTTTCACAGGCGTATTTTACTTAAGGGAATAGTTTGCTTGTCAATGTTTCCTAATCCATAAGCAACCACCTTATTAATGAAACAAATGTATTAAAATCCCTCCGAATTATTACTAGTCCCTTTCAAACCCGATGGCCTAGTTTCTTTTAATAAGGTCAGTGACAGGATTTAGGTTTAGTGAACAAACTGGTATATGTCAAACAGGTGCACACCTCATAAAGGTGATAAACACAAGGCAAATCCAGAGTCTTCTGCTGGAAAGAATTTTTTGTTTGCCTTGGGCTAGACAGAGGGAACAATTTTATTGTAAATGCACAGGTAGTAACAGCTCTACACATAATTTCTTCTTTCTGTTCTTTTCTAATGCCAGTGTGTATTGCCCAACTTCCAGTAACAACTAAAGAGGATTGATCTACATCCCAGAAGAGTTAACACTTACTAAATTACAGTGGTAAGTCCGAAAATTTTTTCATCCTTCAAAACCAAAAGGGCACCAACAATCCAGGGGAGGAAAGCACACTATGTTCAGAAAACAACCAGATGGAACTGACAGGAGAGGGAAAAGATTTATAATGCAACACTTGTGCAAACCTTTAACTTTAGTCTGCATCCGTATGCCAAAAATAGGATGTTTCCACGTTGCACACTCAACTGAATAAATTAGATGGCTCTCACATCAAAAAGACTGGCCTTTTGAAAGTTTGGGTGTTTGGGGTTTTTTTTGCCAGCAGAGATACTACCACCACTGCAGACATGCTGAAAAGAGGATATTTCTGTGGCACTGGAATGACAGTCAGGAGACCTGGGATCAGTCTTAAAGTAGCTCCCCTAGGCGGACATACAGAAAATCAGTGTCTCCCAGTGCCTGCGTCCTCATTCAGAAAACTGAAGATGAACAATCCTTCCACCACCCCTGTGTCTGTCCACTTTTTTCATTTGGATTTTAAGCTCTTTCACAGAAAAGTTGCTCTTTCCAAACGCAATGAGGTCCACAGCACATGCCCTAGAACAAAGGCCCTGCCCACCCCCTCAAACTAAAACACCCTGGCACACCAAGCCAATTTTCTGTAACCATTTCAAGTTGTCTGAAGGCATGGTGCCTTCAGCAGGCAAATATATTCTAAGTGACACGTTAAGTCCCCTACAGACTCTCAAAATGCCAGGCTCACGTCTGAAAGCAGTCACAGATGACTACTTTGTGCTCACAGGTCACATCGTTCTCACCTGGGACTGCCCCTGCTGTATGAAACAAGGGAGATTTGTTCCAGGCAGCATACGCCTTGGCCATTACTATTTACTCCTCACTGCCACTCAACATGTCACACTGCAGGCTTGGCCCTGGACCTCACTGTGCCCCTGCTCCTGCCATCCAAGCCACATTACAGCTATCTGGCCATGCCTGGACAACAACAGCATACTAGACTTGATTAGATAGCTGCCTGCTCAGTACTGATCCAGGCTCCTTCCAAACCCCACACCCTTCTGAGGGCACCTGCCACTATCAGAGAAACACAAGGTTGAGCCACTCTGCCCCTGGAAGCAACATGCCCATCAAGACAAGACTTTGGCTATTTTTATGTATTTCCACTGTATTCAATATTCTGAATACACCACCCTCCTTGGCATGTTGGAGTACTGTCACTACAGAGAACAGAAGTCTCACATCCTTGATGATTTCAGTTTCTTACTTGCACATCATAACTTCTGGGCTTGTTGAACAACCACAGGATGCTAACAGACTGCAGGAGAAGGCTGTATTTGCTTGCCTTGCATACTCTGAATAGGCCCTTCTATATGACCTTGTGAATGAAGCTGTAACCCACTCATACAGTCAGAGACCAAACAACTATTGCCTATTAACACTGCAGTCACTATGCAGCTCAGTGGTGAGGTCAGATCTCCGCCCCAGACCTCCAGCAGAATCAAAGCGGTCCATCTTGTGAGTCAGATAAAGTCATCCTGCAGGAAGAGAGAGCTCTGCCTCTCAGTTATTATCTGAGCAGAAAAGTGCTTAAAGAAAGATTTGGTAGGCCACTGTCCTCCTCTGTGGATTACTGCCCTGTTGTTTCTATCAGCTCTTCTGGCCATCCCAGAGCACTATTAAAAATAAGCACCACCATTCCCAGTGCCCTGGCAGAATCAGCACAAGAATTCCACACACAAGAACAATGCTTAAAGCATTCAGGCAAGAACTAGCTGACTGATCACCCCTTCACCACCCTTCAGACACATTACGTAGGTAAAAAGCTCAGCTTTTCTTCTTCTTCTGCTGGCTTTGCCATATACAACTGATACAATATGGCAGCCATACACCGTATGGTTAGACCTAGGGTTTTTTTATCTCTCTGAAAATCTTTCTACCTTTCCATCAGCTTAGAAAGAATGACTATGTTGATGTTGCTGGAGCCTTCCAGTTATCCTTGCAGAACCACCCACAGCCCAATTCTGTTTTAATCTAGCATCAATTTCAGGCAAATTAGTTTCAAGTAAAATAAGACTTGCAGCCTAAAACGGGTAAGAATTTTTTTTCCACTTTACTTTTTCTTAGTGAAATATATCCTTAACTTGTAGGACTAATTATCAAACTGCACTAAAACAGATGGCTTGATAGAATTCAGTGAAGAATGAGACAATGTGTGTGAAGGGGGACAGCATCTGTAAGTACATGAAAACAAAGTCTGAAAGGACTATTAATCAACTCCACTTCAAAGAAAAGATCTGATCTGGAGTTAGGAAGCAGAATGGATTTCCTCCTCCTTTTGCACATCACCTTTTGCACTGCCTTAAGAGAATCACAAGTCTTCCTTTGAAGTCTGAAGCAACCAGTTTGGACTTCTGCATCAGAAAGGATGCTGGTAGACTAGCAAAAAACATGTTCTGAGCTTGACAATGGCAGACAGCCATCCCAAGACGGGGCCTCCAGCCCCCTGTCACTGCTGCCTATGTTTATGAAGGCAATCACGGGAGCACTCAGGAGTTTCATTTGACATCAGAACTCTCTTGTACTACATTATACAAGTTTACTGTCCGTCTTGAAGACCTGGCTACAAACCCAGAAGCATACCTCCTGGCACTGCACAGGAATCTAAGGCAGAGCAACAAAGAAACCTTGCTCCAGACCGTGCTGAGTGACCAAACTATCACCCCATTTTTATTTCTAATCAAAGTAAAACAGTGATAACAGCACTATCAACCTAACTGATGTTTTATTTACATAAAAGATAAAAAACAAAAACAGGAAAGAAGAAATTCAGTATAGCCTGAAGGGTACCATGCTATTTTTTTAGGCAGATCAAAACATTTGTGTGTGGGTCTCAGCATCCTTTTACAGCTTACAACCAAATAAGACAGTAAATTGAGGGCAAGAGGGAAGAGAGAAGCAGGGATTACATTTTCCTCTGTGTTTATACACCACCTAGCACAGATGGGTCCTGCATTGTGGATCTTGGCACTATGATTAAACAAACAATAGAGGAGCATTATGTTAGTGGTTGAAAGAGTGGCTCTTTACCTGCTGGAGGTTGACCTCTGCATCCAGTAGCTCCTCTACTGCCGATGATGGCATGGACACATTATGGAGGAGGAAGTCTGAGAACGTCTCATTGTCAACCAGGAAATCCCGAAGTTTCAAGTCTGGAAAGTGACAAAACAAGCAACATTCTGGTCAGGGCAAAGCCAAAAGGAAACTCATGTGAGAGCTCTGAACAGGAAAAGCAAAGCTGACAAACAGGGAAGAGGGAATTACACAAGCCATAGCACAAAGGGAAAAGAGGAGCTGCTGGCAAAGTGCTCTGGAACTTGGCAGCTTTCAGAGATGTCAATCCATGATTACTTATCTCAAACAAAGAATAAAGAACCTTCAAAAAAAACCTCCCTTCAACATCGTTATTTCAGCTCAATTTGCACACACATACACAGAAGCAGCAAGGCACACCAAGCTGCTCTCCTCATCTGGGATGGAACCTACTCCAGCAGTAGCCTTGCACAAAGATTCAGTTTTGCTTAATCTCTGTATTGTAACCCAACACAGGACCGAGCTGGTGCACAGACCACTGAATGATTTACTACCCTATATTTAATTATGTTAATAGTAGATGTACTCTACCACAAATTTCAAAGTCTAACATACGCAAACACACAGACATGACACAGAATCACACACAAATCTAGGAAGCAATCTTAACCACTCAGCAACATTTCTGCAAACATTTTTAAATTCCATTTTCTTTCCCAAAAGCATCACCTTATGAAGCCACTGGCGTTTCAGCTCTTGGCTTTAAAACAAGTTTGTATCTCTGCCACAGCAGAGGGGAACCATCTGGAAATTATAATCTGTGCACACTAATGAAGTTCACAAACCTGGAGCTTAAACAACTGACCCTCACACTGGTTTGGGCTGGTTTGTTTGTGGTGTTTTGTTTTGCGTTGGTTTGTTGTGGGGTGTTTGTTTTTTTTTTAAAAAGAGAGAACAATTCTATCTTTACTATGCTTAAATAAGCAGCAGTGAGGAAAGCAGCTGTGCCAGAAGGAGCCGAGAGCAAGTTTCACAGGATTTACAGAGGTGATTTCCAGGCTCAGACAAGTCAACCAGCCAGGTGTCATGCTGCTTTTCTCTGCTCTAGGAAGAGAGGATGCCGCAGCCCACGGCAAACAGTGGAAAGACACGAGCTCTACGGGGAAAGTAATGCGAGGGAGCCCCAAGGGTTTGTACCTTCCCCCTCTTACGGGGAACAGCTGTAACAGAATATTTTTTTCCTCCCCCCTCTTTCCTGTTTTTTGCGTAGCTCGGTGGGCCGTACCCTCAAGAAAAGGCAAAAAGATAGAGACCCTCGAGGCTGGCGGGGGGGGACGGGGGACTGGCATGGGGGGGTGCCTTACAAATTCCCTCCTGCCTTTTCGTTCCACCAGAAGGGGAAGGGAAAAGAGTACATCACACCCTCCCACCCCCCCTCCTCTGCTGAGGCGACGCGCAGGTTACTTTGGGTCGACTGTTTCTCGCTCGCCCTCCTCTCCCCCGCTCCCGCCCCTCCCCCCAGCAGGACCACTCGGCGATATACTGGTTTTGACCACGCCGTCGTCAAACGCTCCGCTGCACCCCGTCACCGAAACCAGCCGCCATCCCTTCTCCCAGCTCGGGGAAGATCTGGGAAAAGAGCCGGCTCCTCTAATGACATAAAAACGACCTTTTCTTTCCAGCAGAGGCTACAGCACCCTGCTTCACCGCAACTGGAGCAAAAATTCCTCCCACCCTGATTCCTTGGTTACTTCCTAAATGCGCTGAACTCCCTAAACACTTCTGCAGCTTGTTTGTTTTTTGGTGAGATCATCAACAGTTCGGAAACTCGGATGGACAAAGGGGTAGCTGGCTGAAGGCATGCTGGCATGCAGAGATCAGATGTTTGATAGCTTTTTCGTTTAAGCTGACCCCCTTTATAATATTTTTCAAGGTCCTCTTAAAGAGCCACACACCTTTTCGGGAAAAAAAAAAAAAAACACAAACACAACAAAAATCAAATAATAATTCTCCTGCTTTTCTGTTGCCTCATTGTCATTTTGCTTTTGGGTTTGCCCAAGCTTTTTTGTTTGTGGGTTTGAGTTGGGTTGTTTTGGTTTTTTTAACCTTATGGAAGCAGGATTTTCTTGGTTGGGAACATATTCTACAGGTAATTGCAGGAAAGCAACCTGAACTACACTGGGATTCCTG